TTCACTACTAGCTTTAGAGATTTGAAACAGAAGAGCATCTATAACTAAAGGAAAATTGGAAAAGTCAAGAGTGGGCTAAGAAAAGAAAGTTATTACATAACTAAACATGGTTATTTGACAGCATTACATTTAAGACACCAAGCAGTGAGCATAAAGGAATCTGAGTTAAACCATCCTCATCTCATTGCTGCAGCTCATATGATCTTCAGTTCTACTTTCCCCAAACTGCAATGCCTATTGCAGTGACAAAAAATTAAAGGACTTTGGAACAGTCTTATCTCAATTTCTTTGCTAGGATTAACCTGTAGCTGCACATTATGGCCATTTATCATTTCATATGCTGACTGTATCTGGCTAGAGTTTCTTTCAATCCCTCAAACCGTATCAAAGCACATCTGCCACACACAGCAAGCAGTTTGTCCTGAAGACGTAAGAGGAAGTGTACTCCCAGAATGCCTTTTAAAACTTTCATTTAAGACAGATGTTTCCAGGCTTAATGGAATAGGTCTTTCCAACCTTCATATGTTGCCTGTCTTCTCATATTGTAAGCTCTTTTGGGCAGGGAACAGGACTACTGTGTGCACAAACAGGGCTTTATGCATTGTGGGTGATACCAGAATACAGATAATAAAAATAAACTGAGGTAGTAAAATCATCTTTGTTAAGTTACAAATGTTTATTTTAATAATGCTATAACCTTAAAAGAGAGATGAACACTGAAACCAAGGGATCAAAAACATGCACAGAGAATTCCTTAGTACAGACTGAAGACTATATGAATTAGAGACAGTAACAGCATTCCAAAACTCTCAAGAAACACCACAGGTATGCTTTAAGCCAATACTAGTGTTTCATAGTGTACAGCTGGAGTTGTGGCTGACAACCAGGATTTGTATCGGAAGGTAGCATTAGCTGAAGAGTTCACAACACATACTCTCTGTCTCAGGCACAATACAAGCAAACAGGCTACGCTTCTGCCAGTTTGTACCCTGCACTACTGAACCTCAAAGTTCTCTCTGTGTATTCCTAAAGCAGCTATCACCATAGTACCTTGGTAACCTGAGTTACACTAGCAAATTTGTTGCTTGGGATCTGATGCAGATTTCTGAATGCTTCTCCTACTGCCTTTCTTTTAACTCTGGTACTTTCACCACAGCTCTTGGCTGACTGCTGGATTTTTGTGTTCTCTGTTCTACAGTGAGCCATGATGATCAGCTATTTTCTACCACAGTTGTGATTCTATATTCTAGCAAGTGCAAAGCTGCTGGGCTCCTATGTTCTAAGGCAGCCAGTGAAGCACAGAGGACTACACTTGAAATAAGCCCTTTGTGTCTTAAAAAGGAAGGAAATTACTGTATTGACTATCTTTGCACAGCAGTAATCTTACCACCAGATCAGTACTGTGTTGAGCCACAGATAAATGGCTCAACAGAATATAAAGAAAGAAAAATAAAACCCCTCAATTTTCAGTGAACTGTTGGCTGCCTGAGGGTGATATTCTGATAAAAAAAATCAATTTGTGTTTTGTCTTTGGCAGTAGCTGACACCCTTACTGTGTGTTGGTTGCCCCCTCCTCCAACTAGGTGGTACTTATTTGCTGTTTTTCTAGCAAAAAGCATCAGTGCCTATCACATCTGCCTGTCTTTTGGCCCTGATTCAAATGATTTCTAACATTTTCCTGTCAGCTACAGAGTTTTTTACAATCCGTCTGTATCTCTCTCAGTGCCTTGAATCTGGCTTTATTTAAAGATAGTCAGAAATTTAATATGCAGAAGTTGCATGATAAAAGGTATAATCTCTGTGCCCTCCTGAGGTGATCTCCTTTTAATCACAAACAGCTGTAAAAAAACTCCACAAAAATAAATCCCTAATAAGTTTAACAAAGAGAAACTTAACTAAGATATAAGGTTACTTTCTAAGTCCCCATGTCACATAGAATGCATATAGATGATCTATTATCCTGATCTAATTTTCAGTCCATCATGTCTTGTATTCTGCCTTGGGTAGTTTCAGAAAAGGACAGCACCATATGTTGGTCTGGTGCCCATTTTACCTTGCCTTCCAGCTCTTTATCCAGCTGTCTGTAGTCATTATTCCAGACTAAGACGTGCAGAGGAAATTTGCTACTAGCCTCACCTAAAGAGCTCATCCTGTACGTATTAGATGAGGGCTCAACCCTCCCTGGGGGGTGCCTGCCCGCTCTGATCTCCCCCTCTTTGTTTCTCACAGGGCCCTTACCAAGCCCCTCAGCCCTAGCCACACAAGAGTCTCTCCCCAGTGAGTCCCACCCCCTTCTGGTGCCTCACAAATACCTTCCCCACATCAACCCCCCTCAAACAACCCACACGCCAGCCCCCTTGCCCTCTGGGCCCCCAACAGGCTCCCTATCACCAACCCCCTCTGCTCCCCCTCAACAGGCCCCCAGCCCCCTTGCTCTCTGCCCCCCAACAGGCTCCCAACCACCAGCCCCCTCTGCCCCCCAACAGGCCCCCAGCCCCCTCTGCCCCCCCAACAGGCTCCCAGCCCCCTCGCTCTCTGCCCCCCAACAGGCTCCCAACCACCAGCCCCCTCTGCCCCCCAACAGGCCCCCAGCCCCCTCTGCCCCCCCAACAGGCCCCCAGCCCCCTCGCTCTCTGCCCCCCAACAGGCTCCCAACCACCAGCCCCCTCTGCCCCCCCCCAACAGGCCCCCAGCCCCCTCTGCTCCCCCCCCAACAGGCTCCCAACCACCAGCCCCCCCCAACAGGCCCCCAGCCCCCTCTGCCCCCCCCAACAGGCTCCCAATCACCAGCCCCCCCCAACAGGCCCCCAGCCCCCTCACCCTCTGGGCCCCACTCCCCTACAATCTCTCCCCCTCCCCTGACCTCTCACCCTACCGCTGACCTTTCCCCTCGCCTGACCCCAGCCCCCCGCTTTCCTTCTCTCCCCAGAACGTTTCCCACCAGCCAGGGCAGCGGTCGGAACGAACCACTGGGCTGCCGGAATAGGGGAGGCTCCCGGCTCCCACAACCCGCTCCGGGGCCAGCCCCCTTGCCCCGCTAGCGAGCCCAGGGGCTGGGAACGTCACCCCTTACCGCCCCCTTTCTAGCAGGCAGATGGACCCTTCCATCCCTCAGGCTCGCCCACTGTCTGGAGGGGGAAAATACGCGGAAGTGGAAGAACTGCCCCCGCCCCATCAGGGCATTGGTTTCGCCTGAAGGCTCCGCAACCAAGTGGGCGGGAGCGACCCTTCCTAGTACTTCCGTGCGGCCGAGGGCGCCGTTTTGGCTGAGGGTAGTATCACACCCTGACTCCCCGGCCGCCATCTTGGGTTAGGGCAATGTGAGCCTCCCTCCAATCCGGCTCTTCTCGGCCGCCATCTTTGGTGAGGGCAGCAAAGCGCTCCCATCTGCTGACCCAAACCATGCGTGACAGCAATTTCCTTTCTACCCGTCCGTCTCAGGTTGCCATCTTGGAAGAGGGCAGCGGGCCAGCCCTGTGCAGCAGTGGTTCAGACCATTGGCTGTGGTATTGTGTCTCCATCACTGGCCAGTGCCTTGTTGCTTCAGAGAGGAGTGAGGGTGCCCTTCATGGCCCTCAGATACTTTACTGTTAGGTGCTGTATAAGTAAGAGGGCAATAGAGAATTAGCTGGATACTTGGGTGTACAGTCTGGAGACAGCTAGATAAATAGGCAAGTATGGAGATAGACTGATGGGTAGATTAGTAAATATCTATAGATTGGGTGATGGGTAAGTAGGTAGGGAGTTAGGTAGATGCCATAGGATGAGACAGCTAATACATACCATATGGTCAGTTGTGCAGATTTGTGCATTTGCAAGCAGACCTCCCCCACCCCATTGCAGCCCCCTATTAACTGGCTGCTCTGCTACAGCAAGAGGGTGGATCCTCTACTCTTCTCTACCTAGTGGTTACAAATGATCAGACAGATGACCCTCAAGCTCAAAGATGGCAGCATTGTTAACACTTATAGTTTTATGGTAAGTTTTGGAATTTTATTTTTTTTACTTTAAGGCCCAGCTCTTGGAGACAACTGTATACATGAGAATTGCAGCTGTCATTTTAATAACAAGTTAGTTTTTAGCCCTCATGGTCAGGGAGGAAAGCTTAAAATTGTGAGCCAAGTGAGCCCTAACAGCTTGAAAACCAGAAGGCAGAATGTAAAGTTCATTGCTATTTTTTGCATCTCATTATTTTTGGGGTCTAACATAATATTTGAACAGGTGGGCTTGGCACTGCTGTATAGACAAAGGCAAGTTTATATAGTAGAACATCCCTACTTTGCTCTCCTCCCTCTTTATCCTGTGCTCCTGCTTATGGAGGTAGACAGAGCATCTTGGAGAGGGAAGAAGGTTAGAGAGACCAGCTTGGCCTTGAGTCAGCCTTTTCCACTGACAAGTCTGGTCTCAGACACCCACACCCTTCCTGACTGCAATTGTGGTGCCCCTGTGCTCTGGTGACAAGGAGCCTGTGGGATTTGCCCCCGCTCATGGTCAGATGCTGCCGTAAGAGCACAAACAGCTTCCTTGGGAGCCGCGGATGCATGGGTTATAATTTGTATCTCCAGTGTTACAATAGACTTGTTTCAGAGTAATGGTCGTGTTAGTCTGTATTCGCAAAAAGAAAAGGAGGACTTGTGGCACCTTAGAGACTAACCAATTTATTTGAGCATGAGCTTTCGTGAGCTACAGCTCACTTCATCAGATGCATACTGTGGAAAATACAGCAGATGTTTTTATACACACAAACCATGAAAAAATGGGTGTTTATCACTACAAAAGGTTTTCCCAGTAGACATGGGACGGACGGCTCGTCGGGTTCTGGGGTTGGGCCTGTTTCTGCCAGGAGCTAAAATGGTCTCCAAGCCCGCTACAGCCCGGTCCGTGCCAGGAACTAAGATGGCGGCCGCCGCCTCCGCGGCCTCCCTGTCACGTGACAGCCTGCCGCCGGGCTTGGTGAACGGCGCTGGGGGCGTAGCCGCGGCGCTGGCGCAGGCCCGGTGCGGCCCCCTGCTGGCTGGCGGGGGCGCCGGCGTGGGACCCGTTCGAGCGGCAGGAAGAAGCGGCCCCCGCCCGAGGCTGAGGCAGGCAGGCGGCCGCCGCCCGCGCCGACATGTCGAAGCGGCTGCGGAGCAGCGAGGTCTGCGCGGACTGCAGCGCTCCGGGTAGGCGCGGGCGGGCGGGGCTGAGGGGCGCGGCCGGCCCCGGGGGAGCCCGGTCCCCCCTGGGACTCTCGCTGCGGGGCCTTCCCCAAGGGAGCCCGGCGTCCTGGCCCAGCCCTGCCCCGGGGCCCGCGTTCGCCCGGCGGCTCCGGGGACCCCCGCGCTGCAGCTCGGCCGAGCCGGGGCGGGGGGGGGGCTGCGTGGCCGGCGCCCCCCCACCCCCCGGGGCAGCCCTGGCGCCGAGCGCCCCCGGGCTGCGGGCGGAAAAGCCGCCCTGGCTGCGCGGCGCCAACAGGAAGCGCGGGGCAGAAGCGGCGGCGGAGCTGAGCCGTGCGCGCTGGGGCCAGTGACAGCTGCCGCGCCGGAGCCGAGCGGCCAGCGGGGCTGGCCCGGGCCGCAGCGTCCTGCCGGGGGCCGGAGCCCGGGGACTGAGAATGGGGTTAAACCGTTTCTCGCGTGGGCAAGGGCCATCTGGCCAAACCACCAAAGGAGAAATCCAGAGCTGGGGGTTCTGCTAGCTCGACCAGTGCGCGTCACTTCCCCTCTCTGTGCCCCCGTGAAATGGGAATAACAATACTTTTCTAGGTTTCAGAGGAACAGCCGTGTGTGTTAGTTAGTTAGTTTCCACGGTAAACATCTGATGAAGTGAGCTGTAGCTCACGAAAGCTTATGCTCAAATAAATTGGTTAGTCTCTAAGGTGCCACAAGTCCTCCTTTTCTTTTTGCGAATACTTTTCTACTTCTTGAGTACGGATGGGCTTAACTCCTCAAGGTTTGCAATGAGTTTGAAGTTGTGGGGTGAATGGATGGCATGGTAGAAGTGCACAGTGTTGGTGGTGGTCTGGCAATACATCACCCAGACTTGAGAGAAACCTAAACTAGTTACAGAGGAACAGCCGTGTTAGTCTGTATTCGCAAAAAGAACAGGAGGACTTGTGGCACCTTAGAGACTAACCAGTTTATTTGAGCATGAGCTTTCGTGAGCTACAGCTCACTTCATCGGGTGCATACTGTGGAAACTGCAGAAGACATTATATACACAGAGACCATGAAACAATACCTCCTCGCACCCCACTCTCCTGCTGGTAATATTTATCTAAAGTGATCACTCTCCTTACAATGTGTATGATGATCAAGGTGGGCCATTTCCAGCACAAATCCAGGTTTTCTCACCCCCCCCCCTCTTTTTCCAAAAACTACACACACAAACTCACTCTCCTGCTGGTAATAGCTGGAAATGGCCCACCTTGATTATCATACACATTGTAAAGAGAGTGGTCACTTTGGATGGGCTATTACCAGCAGGAGAGTGAGTTTGTGTGTGGGGGGGTAGAGGGTGAGAAAACCTGGATTTGTGCTGGAAATGGCCCACCTTGATTATCATACACATTGTAAGGAGAGTGATCACTTTAGATAAGCTATTACCAGCAGGAGAGTGGGGTGGGAGGAGGTATTGTTTCATGGTCTCTGTGTATATAATGTCTTCTGCAGTTTCTACAGTATGCATCCGATGAAGTGAGCTGTAGCTCACGAAAGCTCATGCTCAGATAAATTGGTTAGTCTCTAAGGTGCCACAAGTACTCCTTTTCTTTTTGCGAATACAGACTAACACGGCTGCTAACACCTTGTTTAAACATCATAATCTAGAAAAAGTGGTGTAAATGAAGAATCCCATTGGCACATGTCCTGGGGTGTAGTCTTTCTTTAAAACTTGACACCACTTTATTTTTAGTAGTGAAACTAGCTAAACTGTAAATAATTGTATTGGTCTTACTAAACTTATCTTGCTTGAGCTACCACTAAAAGCAAATGGCATCTCTGACCTCAGGCTAAATTGCAGCTTGTTTCAAGTGATCCTAAAGATGTTATGTAAAATACATAATCCACTTCAGGAGAGTGACATGTACATTCAGTAAAAAAGAAAGTGTGTATTTCCCATTTCCCCCTAACCTCTGTGTGTTTGTCTGTTAGTTTGTGAGCCCTTCAGGGCAGGGGCTCAGGGCCCATTGTTTCTTGTTTGACTTGAAAGTTCCTGGCACTTAGTAGGGCACTACCATAAGCCAATAATAAATTATAAAATAGGAATTGCAACTTCAGAAGTAAGGGTTATAGATTTGGAAATGGGTTATTGAAACTCCTGTACTGTATTCCAATGTGGTCTCTAAAGAAGTCAAGTGACCTGTACCTTTAGTATGTGGGTAAAGATTGCGGTGATATACTTTTGTCTGGTTTTTCTCACGTACCAGAATGGCAGCATAATACTCTAGGGCGGGGCTCGGCAACCTTTCAGAAGTGGTGTGCCGAGTCTTCATTTATTCACTTTAATTTAAGGTTTCATGTGCCAGTAATACATCTAAACATTTTTAGAAGGTCTCTCTATAAGTCTATATATTATATAACTAAACTATTGTATGTAAAGTAAACAAGGTTTTCAAAATGTTTAAGAAGCTTCATTTAAAATTAAATTAAAATGCTGATCTTACACCACCGGCCCTCTCAGCCCGCTGCCAGTCTGGAGTTCTGTTCCCCTAGGCCAGCAGCAGGCTGAGTGGGGCCTGCGGCTGGGATCCCGGCTGGCAAGGGGCCAGCAGCCAGAACCCCGGGCCAGCAGCGGGCTGAGCGGAGCTGGCGGCCGGGACCCCAGACCAGCAGGGGGCTGAGTGCTCAGCCCGCTGCCACTCAGATTGCTGCCGGTCTGGGATTCCATCCACCAGCTCCTGCTGGCCCCTCTCAACTGGCTGCCGGTCCCTCTCAGCTGGCTGCCGGCTGCCCCCACAGAGAGTGGGTACCTACCTTCTCCCTGGTTCTAGCCCATTGTCTTCCCCTCTCTCTCTCTCTCTGCACTGAGCTGAGGGTGGGAGTGCACTGAGCACAGGGCTGGGGGTGAAGGAACAGGCTGGTGGTTGGGGTGTAGGGTCTGGCCAGGAGCTAGAATGAGGGAGGGGGCTCAGGATTGGGGCAGGAGGTTTGGGTGTGGAGCACTTACCTGGGCAGCTCCCATTTGGTGTGAGGGGTGCAGGTGGGAATGGGTGGGCGGGGGTGCAGGAGCTCCCATTTGGTACTCAGGTTGGGGGTGGGAATGTGGGGGGTGCAAGAGTCAGGGTGTGGGCTAGGGTTGTAGGGGTGCTCCTCGCCCCCTGCCCAGAGTGGCTTATGGCAGGGGGCTGGAGGGGATATGCCCCGATTCCACCCCCACAGCCCTGTCCCCCCCCCCCTCCCCACCTCTTTTCTACTTCTTCCCCGGAGCAGCACCCCTTCCCTTGCAAGGGCTATCAGCTGATTGGTGGCAGGGAGGGAGGGGCAGGAATCTAGCATGCCTGCAGCAGCAGCCAGCAGGCAGGACCAAGCTTCTTCACCCTGCCCCCGCGGGGGGGGGGGGGGAGGAGGGAGCGGGCTGGGGTGGGCAGGATTTTTAATGGCACGCTGCTGCCTGCTGGGGTTCCAGCCTGGGTTCGGCAACGGGGTGAGTGGGGCCAGCGGCGTGCCATAGGTTGCCAACCCCTGCCCTATGGCATTGTAACTTCTCATGATGGTCAAAATCATTCCAGAGAACGCTGAACATATCTCATTGACATGCCTAGATGTCTTTTACTTAGTCTTATTATGGGGAACTGTTAATGATAACATGCTGTGCTAGAACATTAGATGATTACTGGCTTAGCGTAGAAGTAGCATTGTAAGGAATTGTCAATGTGACGTGATTTTTTTTATGTTGAAATGAACATAGCTATATCTTGCTCTTTTGTCTTACAAAAATAGTGCCTCTTATTTGTATATTAAATAAGAACACACTGCAGATCTAACAAGGCAGGACTTAAAACTTTGAGCAATAACACAATAATACTTATCGTTTATATAGTATTTTTCATTTAGAGACTTCCACGCCCTTCCCGAAGATGGGATATGTATCATTATTCCTATTTTACAGACAGGAAAACTGATGCATTAATAATTATAAGCTTTTCTATGGCACTCCTCACTGTAGTATCTGAACACCTCATGACCTGTAATGAATCTAGCCTCATAACACTCCTGTTGAAGAAGGGAAGTATTGTCATCATTTTATAGATGGGAAACAGCTCAGAGTAAGTGGGGTTTTTTCCTCAAGGTCCCACAGCAAGTCAGTGTCAGAACTTGAAACAGAACCCAGATCTCCTGAGTCCCAGTCCAGTGTCTAACCACAGGACCCATATTTCCCCCAGCATCTTGAGGCCCAGGGAGTTTGTGACTTGCCCAAGTTCATATAGCAAGTAAGTGGTAGTAGATCCAGGAATAGAACTCGTGACATCTGATTCCCAGTCCTGTGCCCTAACCACTGGCTGATGGTGCTGCTCATATTATAATAAATATACTTCTCTTTTCCAGACCCCTGTTGGGCATCAGTAAACAGGGGAATTCTGATTTGTGATGAATGCTGTAGTGTTCATCGGAGTCTAGGACGTCATATCTCGCAAGTGAGGCATCTTAAACACACACCATGGCCTCCAACATTGCTGCAGGTAAAAGCTGAGGATTGCTTTCCGATGAGAATCGGAGAATTCTTAGAGAATTCTAATTACTAAACTTTCTGGAGGGGAGAGTTACTTCATTAAGCTCTTCTTAAAATAGGTTTCTTGGTTTCTGTTACATTGCTGTAACAGATTATTAAAGTCAGTGTTAACTCCACATTTTAAACTTACTTTTAGGGCAAATTCAGAGCCTGAGATATAGTTAAAATTCCCTTGGTTTTGAGAGTTAACTTTTGTCTGTCTGTCCAACCGGAGTACTGCAGTGAATCCACTTCTACTCAAGTTGTCAGGTTGTAACAACCCCCCCTACCCCCCCGAGCTATTGATGAGGTCTTGCTGTGGCTACTTAGGAGAATCGAATTCTAAGCGCCTGCCCATTCTGCTTTCATTTCTTCTTTCTCACATGTCCTCTGTTTTGGGAAGCCTAAAAGATCCTTTGATAGCTATTTTAATGAAGCCTTCTTGAAAAGTTGCTTTGCTCTTTCAAAGCTTAAATTTACTTGAGGGTATGTCTATGCTATGGAGATTCTACTAGCATAGCTGCATCACCACAGCTATGCTGGCATACCCCAGTATTGTAGATGTAGCCTACACTGGTGGAAGAGATTTTTCCACTGATGTAGGAACACCACCTTCCTGAACAGTAGTAGCTATGTTGACAGAAGTATTCTTCCGTTGACATGGTTGTGTCTACACTGGGGGCTACATTAGCATGGCTACATCATTCAGCTTTTCGCACCCTGACCCACGTAGCTATGTCGACCGAACTTTTAAGTGCAGAGCAAGCAGTAGTGTTTGTGGGGTGAGAGTTTGTGGACCATCTGCACTTGTAGCAATAATAACTGGCATCTGCAGGCCAGTTAACAATGAGTAAAGATTGCATGATTTTCCATTTCTTTGCGTTTTGCATATTGTAGCCGTTCTAGGTCAGAATATATACTGGCATGAACACTGATTGTCGGATGAGTATACAAATATGTGCCTGTGAACATTTATTCCCAAAACAAAGGCTTTCTCCTAGTTAACTTAAAGGAGCTATTCTTGCTCAGTACAGGAATCTGGTCACACATGAATAGATCCAACATTCCATCTAGGGCACATAAACATGCAAGTGTGTTACCATTTTCATTTACCTCTGTGTGAGCCTGTCCATGCTTTTCTAAAAAACAAAAACCACAAACCAAACGCTTCTAGATGAATAACTTAAAAAGTGAGATGTTACTTCGTAGCGTATCTGTATTCTAACACTTTCACTATGTAAATGTGTATGAAACTTAAAAAAAAAAAAGTGAGGGTTAGGTTAAGATTCAGGCAAATTCTATTTTATTTTAAAAATAAGTTTAGATTGTATGTATCTGATTTGTCTCCCTTTCCCCACCCCAAAATGCAAACTACCTCTCTGCTCTGTGCTCTGGTGCTACTTCATAAGTACAGAAGAGAACACTCTTCTTGAGACAGGCAGCTGAAGATCCGCAGCTGTGGAGAAACCATGCCATACTTGTCTCACCTGCACCCCTAAAAAAGATCACGCCCAGCCAAAGTGGGGAGAAGCCACCCATGCTTTCAGTTCCTACACAAAAGGGAGGTCTGAGGAGACAGCCCGGTGCCTCTTAACCTATATTTCTACAGCAAAAGAACGAACCTGAGGAGGGGAAGGCAAGTGGATAATGTGCCAGTTTCATGGAATGTAACTGGTTGACTGATCTCCCCAGAAATTCTGCCCATCTCTCCTTCATGGCTGAGTATGGGTCTCTTTGGGAGAATAAAGTCTTCAGTCCCCAGATGTAAAGCTGTGGATCTACTTATACTGATGCAATTTAAAGCAGCATTAGTGGTCTACCTTCCGGTAAATAAATGCTGCCTTCCCTGCTTGCAATATAATCTGTGAAACTACTTATTTTTAAGGCCCATCCCAAGGTATTCCAGGTGCCATACAACAATAAAATGAATAGGATAGGTAAACATACATGATGAATCTCTTCTTGAACACACATTGAGGGGGAGGCTCTTACTGAAAACAAGAAGAGCTGCAGCAAGCTAACATGTACAATCCAAAATTTATAATGGAAAGTGTAGACAAAAGAACATCCTAATCCTCTTTTTAGCAAAATAAGGTTTGACACCAGTTGCCTTTTAATGTTAATAAAAAAAAGTCCAAAAAACTTCTTTTCCTTGGCAACTTTCTGGAGTAGCATAAAAATGCTCTCCACTTGGGAAATATCATCTGTGAGCAGCTCTGCCTGTGTAGGTAGTAGTAAAATATTTAATGCCTGTTGCACACATTTTGGGTTTCAGATGGTTGAAACACTGTATAATAATGGTGCTAATTCCATATGGGAACATTCTTTGCTGGACCCTGCATCTGTTATGAGCGGAAGGCGCAAAGCTAACCCACAGGATAAAGTGCAGTAAGTAGAGTGTTTATAAAATTCTGTGTCTCCTCAGGAGCCCCTTTGTAAAAATGTACCTATTTTGACTAGTTGTGAGAGAGGAAGCAACAGATGAGTAAAAACCTGATCTTGTATCAAGTCTTATCAAGGACATTGAAGAGTATTGCTGATGTGAATAAATCTGACAAAACCCAATCTCCTTTATTCACTGACTTAACACCTGATATGTGCTCAAGCAGAGATGTTAAATATTCTCTGAAGTATCCTTGAAGATCACTCGTTTCAGCATAGTCTTTGAAACAAAAACTTTAGTGAAGAGATCTTTTCATTGTCTTGCATCATGTGCATCAATAGTATTAATGTATCATGTGTGGTCCCAATTGTTGGGTATTGATTTTTTTTTAATCTTCTCTTACATGCCACAAATGTCATCTTATCCATTTCTTTATCAGTATTTTCTTTCAGAAGAAAAGAAAATCTTTTCTTTCAGCTAATTAGTTTTAAAAGCATAGTTTCTTATCTGACTGTGTATATTTGTTTAAGTTGTTGATCCTGAGAGGTGCTGAGCACCAGCAGCTTTCAGTGAAGAAGTTGAGGGTTTTCATAATATTTCAGGACAGGTCTTCAGCTTATAACCAGGATACCTGAAAATAGTGAAATAACTTTATTACTTTTAGAGTTGTTCGGAAATTTTCACCAAAAATCTCAATTTTTGCCAGAATTCTAAGGGTTGTTGTCTGAAAACTGAAGTATTTTCAGTTTTTCTACAAACCCCAGCCCTCCGCCCCCTCCCAAAAAGACAATTTTTTTGTTGAAGAAAATTACATTTTCATTTTTATCAAAAAATTTCACTGGGAGCGGGAGATAAAATAACAATAACTTTCAATCTTTCAATAACAGTACCCTTCAGTAGAGAATTAAAATCTGGATTGAATTGTGTACCGGATGAAAATATTCCCTAGTGCCTTACTCTGTCAAATCTGTTGGCATTCTGTACTGAAATATGCTATGTGCTTTAATTATTTTATTTATACAAAGCCAACATTTATTTTGCAACTCCTTTGCTTTGGTTTCTTCTTACAGTCCCAACAAAGCGGAATTCATTAGAGCTAAATATCAAATGTTAGCATTTGTTCATCGCTTGCCATGCCGAGAAGATGATAGTGTTACTGCCAAGGACCTTAGTAAGGTAAGTATTGCTTTCTTGCAGTTTGTGGGCTGGAACAAAACAGCTTGCAGGTGTCACCAGATACTGTAAGACTGATATCTGAGTAGACTTGAGTTACTTGGATTATAAATGAAAAATAACTAGTATCTCCATGGTACTGCATTTTTGTGTATATAAATGTATTAAGCATTCAAACTTAACCTTGAAGGGAAATATTTTTCAACAGTGTCCGATTGGCACTAATAGAAGTTGTGTGGATGTTAGAGAACCACAGGCCTCAAGTTAACTGATCCATCTTACTAGAAACTGTTGGAAAGTAAAATATTCATAGGCTATAGCTAGTTTTTTTTAATATCTGTTCCTAATACAGTGAAGATGACTTTGACTCATTGTCCTTGTATATCCAGACTTTTAACAGACAGTCCTTTTTGTTTTTCAGCAACTCCATTCCAGTGTGAGGACAGGGAATCTGGAGACATGCTTGAGATTACTCTCTCTAGGAGCTCAGGCCAACTTTTTTCATCCTGTATGAAAATCTTTTTTATTAGCTTGGTGTTAGATCAATTCTTAGTCTGTCATTATATTTATGTTGGTTTCAGCTGACATACATTTTATATCAGTCACGTATTCAGACCTGCCGATTGAACATGAGCATGTGTGGTTTTTAATGACTTTGTAGGAGAAAGGAAACACCCCGCTTCATGTTGCTGCCAAAGCAGGACAGATCTTACAGGCAGAGTTGTTGGCAGTCTATGGTGCTGATCCTGGCACACAAGACTCCAGTGGAAAGACTCCAGTGGACTATGCAAGGTAAATGGTTTGGATGTTTTGATTTTTTTGTCTTGATTTTTTTTTTAAATAAAATCGTAAATGATCACCTTTCCCAGGTTCTCTGGGTATCCTGATGGACATTTAATTTCACAGTTAAACCTCAAATGAGTGCTTTTCCCAGGATAAAGTAAATGCACACAGAACAAATAAAATATCTCCAGTCTTCAATCCATCTCTTTTCAAATGCCTAAGAGAACAGATTGGCCTTGCAGGGACTCAAAAGGGCTTTACCCTACCAGCTAAATGGCTCTCTCGGACCGGTGGGGACTCCATTCCAAATTCCCTAGCAAAGAACATATTGCAGGCAGCTTCCTCTCTTTTGCGTCAAGGGAGCTCCAGCGGCATGAGTGCCTGTATGATTTCAAGTGCAGCAATATGGCAAAGGAAGATGGACATCTAAGTAACCAGGTCTCAGATAATACATTATTTATTTGTATTACTGTAGCAAGACTGAACATGCATTGTGTATATAAAATTATAGACAAGCTACCAAGCAAAGGCTGTATTCAAAACCGTTCCAGTAGCAGCAAGATTCAGAAGTTGTGTAGTCTCAGTGCTTGGATTTATTTATTGGTTTGGAAATGGTGTATAAGGAGCATGACAAAGCTCTGTCCTTGCCTCCGTGAGTCCCGCGTTTCCTGGCAGATTTCACTAGCCTCAGAGGCTCACTGTGACCCTCCATGTAACCCTTCTCTCCCTAGAGACAAGGGTCACAGTCTACTGAGCCATTTTCATCATAAGCCAGCGAGGGAGGTGAGGAGAAGTTATCCTTCCTTGCACAATCTCTGTTGTCTCCCAGTCTCAGTGATTAATCAGGGGGCAAAGGCGGGGGGAGCCCGGGCCCACCCTCACTCCAGGCTCCAGCCCAGGGACCCTAATAGCATCAGCTATGGTAGCTGACCTTTTAGAAACATGACATGTACAATTCCCTGGGCTACTTCCCCCACAGCAACCCTCACTTCCTCAAGCTCCACTTCACCCTTACGTCAGTTCCTCCTTCCTTGTGCCTGATATGGTGTGTACTGCTCAGCCTCTCCAACAGCGCAACTTCCTCCCACTGCTCCTGACATGCACACCCACCTGACTAAATGGGAGGCTTTTAACTAGTTTCAGCCAGCCCCTGATTGGCTTCAGGTGTCCCAATCAACCTAGCATTCTCCCTTCCTTCTGGAAAGTTCTTAATTGGCCCCTGGTGTCTTAATTGACCTGGAGCAGCTGCCATTTCACTTATCCTGGTACGAGGGATTTGTTTAGCCTGGAGCTAATATATCTATCTCCCACTACTTTTCTATAGCCATCTGGCCTTGTCCCGTCACAGGAGACACTGAGGACAGAACAAGTCTTCTGTGGGAATCGGATACCATGTATCAGAGTTGTTGCCACTGCTGTTGTTCCAATACTAAACTGGACATGGTTGATTTACCATCTCAAAAACTGCTCAGAAAAGACTATTCTGCCTATTTTGGGTAAATTGTTAATCAGCTTCTCTAGTAGGTAGATAAGCAAAGGTATTCCAGAGTACGCAGCAACTCATTTTGAACGGATGAGGAAAGTCTAATTCCCTTTTAGTATTTTCTTCTGAAGAGTCTCTTGTGATTCTCAAAAAGAAAAGGAGTACTTGTGGCACCTTAGAGACTAACCAATTTATTTGAGCATAAGCTTTCCTTTTTGCGAATACAGACTAACACGGCTGTTACTCTGAATCTTGTGATTCTGACACCCGTTGGAAAAAACTCAAACACATACTAAATTGAAAATGTAGAAGTGATCTGATGTTATATTCACGATGCTAAATTTAATCTTTTCTGAGCAATTTTTGAACCTTTACATTTTATAGCCAGTGAAGCATAAATGAATGCCATTTTCTGTTTCTTGTCTAATAGACAAGGAGGGCACCATGAATTGGCAGAGCGCCTTATAGAAATACAGTATGAACTTACTGACAGACTAGCGTTCTATCTCTGTGGCAGGAAACCAGGTGAGTACAAAAAAACTATATCAAAGTGTTATTCAAATAGTGATTATTTGAATATACAAACTAAAAAGAATGACACCCATGTTATTGATAACACTAGCCCCATTAGATCATTTTTTTTAAAATTATCAAGCCTTTTAAAAATAGGCATGAAATTATAGAACAGCAAAGGAAATGTTAGTGGCTTAAATTAGAGATGGTAGAATTAAAATTTTGAATTAAATTTTTGTGTTGGTAGACAAAATGGTAAACTAAAATCCCCTTTTTGTTGTGACAAAACATATATTCTGTCTCCAATACCCCATGCTCTGACTGGTAGGGTTATAGGGTCACAAGGCACTGCGTGATTAAGTGACAGAATCTGCGTAAGAGCCACCAAAGGCTATGAAAGAAACTACTCATGGAGTGAGATGCAGCATGTTCCCACAGCTGGCTAAGAGACAGGAGACAGAGTAGGAATAAATGGTCTGTTTTCATCATGGCAAGAGGTTACAAGGGTGTCTCCCAGTTCTGTGCTGGGTCCAGTGGTGTTCAATATATTAACAATCTGGATAAGTGGGTGAACAGTGAGGTAGCAAAATTTTCAGCTGACACGGTTTTTTAGGTTAGTCAAGTCCAGAAAGAACTAAAGAACTTCAGAAGGGCCCAACCATCTACATGAATGGGCAACACACTGGCAAATAAAGTTCAGTGTTGATGAACACAAAATAATGCACATTAGTATGAAAAACTTAAACTACTCATACGCCTTTCACAGCTCTAAATTAACTATCAACTCAGGAAAGGGACCCGAGTGTCATTGTAGACAGCTCAGTGAAGACCTCTACTCAACCTGCGGTCAAAAAATGTGATCTAAGGATACATGAGGAATGGGATGGAGAATAACATGGAAAAAATAATGCCTTTATATAAATAAATGGTGTGCCTCACCTATATTCTGTAGTACTGGTCACCCCATCTCAAAATGGATGTTGCAGGATTAGAGGGTGCTCAGTGAAGGGTGACAAATTATTAGGGGCAAGGAAAAAAATCAGAGATTGGGATTGTTTACTTTAGAAAGGAGATGAATAAGAGGAGACATGATGAAGGCATATAAAATAATGAATGGTCTGAAGAAAGTAGATTTTGAGCTTCTATTCTCTGTCTTACAATCCAAAAGCAAGGGGACGTTTAGTGAAATCAAAACATGGCAAAAAGATACTTTTTCAAACAACACATAATTAAACTGTGGAACTTCTTATCACAGGATGTCATTGAGGTCCGAGTCTTAGTCTAGTTATCCATGTAAATATCCAATCCTTTTGTGACATATACTATCTAGCATTGTTAGTTAATGCTAACAAATTTTGGAGGAAGCCTTCTGCTTCAGGGCTTAAGACACTCTAACTGTTGGGGATTAGGAGGGAACCTAATGTGGGGAGGCCAATCATCCTGCATCTGCTAAATGCAGATTCCCTTTCTGCAGCTTGCAGAGCTAAGGTCTGTGACTTTAAACAGTCTAGTAGCCAAACAAGCGTGTTATATAGTCTAATAAAACTGAGAAATGTAGGCCAGTAGCAGTGTTGTTTGAAACACATCCTAAATATTTTAACATTTAGCTTAACTCGATTTCAGATCACAAAAATGGACAACACTTTATTATACCTCAAATGGCAGACAGGTAAGACTGCTGATTGAATAGCATGTATTTGAATGAATATCAAATAATTAGTTCTTTAATTGTTTGTATTTTCTTTTGAAATATTTCAACTCTTGTCACTACACTGTGTTTATTCCTTTTTTGACACATTTGGTCCATCATATGAGCTTTTCTGCTTTAGTACTTTAGAATTTGAGGAAAACGAGAAAAGTAAAAGGATGTGAAATTTATCATTTAGTTAGGTATGTGAAAGAAAATGCACAAGTAATGTTGGAAAGCAAACTTGATTGATATCAGTAATTACTCCTGAACTTGTATCCTGATACAGCACTGTAAGACTTATATTTGCAGGAAAATGGTGTATTTTCTAGTAAACTTCTTTGTAGTGTTGGCTGTGCTAGTGGTAAGAAGTTAGGAATGTAAAGGTCATGTTTGTTTAAAAGAAATATAAAGTGTTAACATATCATAACAAAGTCCATATATTTTTCTTTTATTGCTGTGCAATTGGAAATAAGACGGCTGTAAGTAAATGACAGACTTCAGTTACTTTGCAAACACATTAATGAATGAACAAAGTTTAAAAAAACTTCAATTAAAACCAGTTAATCTTCAGTTAGATATACAGGTGATGAGTATAGTTTTGTACAATACTTTATGGTGCAGTAGGGTCTTTTTCCATCAATAGTAATACTTAGCTTTTTTGTGGGACTCCTCATCCATAACTCTCAAAGCACTTTACAGAGCACGGTGAGTTTCTGCAGCCCAGCATCTCACATTCTGGACACGTGGGCTGCTTTCCTCTCTCTGCAGCTCCCTGAGGTGGAGTTTTGGAGCTGAGTGGTTACACCCCCTCAGTTCTTGTTACCTTCCTTTCTCTGTCTCCATGGCAGTATGTGTACGGTTTTTACAGCTCCTGCCTTCACATCTGCCTAAGGGCGACTTTTTTGACAAAATCTGGCACAGTGGTGAGCAATGATTTCCCCTCCTCACTCTCCCCACCCCCCCCCGAGCCAGTTTTTTAGCCAGGTGTTGGAATGCCTCCAGAGCCTCAGATGCAGTACTTGCCTGCTTCCTCCTCTGAACCTTTGAGGTATGGCACAACAGCCTGAAAAATACCAAATGAAATCCAAAAGGTGCTCCATCTGTGATACTGCCCTCCCAGGCTCGACAGACATTGAGTTGTGCCCAGTCTTCCTTCCCACACATTAGGTCACGGGGCTATGAGTCGGAGAGGCATGTGGGATCCCCATCTCACTGGAACAGCTGCAACTACAACCTTGGAAAAATTAACCAGGAGTCTCTGCAGAACAGGGAGAGGCTCCGTGGATGAGGAGGACCCTAGTCAGCCAACTCAGGGATTAAGTTCCAAGGGACCTCTGGAAAACAGAGGGCAGGCTTGTGGGGGTCACAGATCTCTTCTTGCTCTCCCCCCCCCCGACCCCGAGTCCTAAAAGGGTCCTGAGCACCGTAGGAATAGGGCTCATAAGGGCTCAATTGGCCCTCCTTCCCAATTTAGCTTGTCCTCAGGTCTTTACGAAGATGTGGGTGGTAGTCACAGCCAGGTTCAGGTCACAGGAGAGCCACCTGTACCCCTTCCTGGATGCCATCTTAATTAGAGCTCCTTCCCCAGCGCACACAGCTACATCCCTGACCTTGAATGTCTTGCAAGTGCATGGCTTTATCAACATCAAAAAAACAACCCTCTTTGATTGCATCCAACCAAATAACTCACTTGGGTGTGGACATAGAAGCCTCAGTAGCAAGGATATCTCTATCTCTAGAGGTTCCAGAAAATTCAAGACCTCCTCCCATTGTTTTGGAGCTGCAGTAGGCCCTGATTGCACTGAGTCTTCAACTGCTAGGCCTCCTGCATAGGGATCACTCCATGGGCGCAATCACAGATCCAGTGACTTCAAGGCTTCACTTTAAGGTACGGGACCACCCCCCAGAACTTATGAAAAATAGAGAGAGAGTTCCGGCACATGGTGGTCAGCCCAGAGCAGTGTCTGCAAAGGGCATGCCCATATGTTTTCCAGATCCCCTGATCCTCATAACCAATACCAGCCTGGAGGGCTGGGGAGCACATCTGGGGTCTCAAATAGCTTATGGCATTGGAACCTGGAGGAAAGAACCCACACCATAAACCTTCTAGAACCAAAAATGCTCAAGCTGACCCTACAAGGGATCCAGTTCAGCCTAGAGGGGGAGCACGTCCAATAGGATCACGGTCACGTACAAGAACAATCAAGGGGGATCAAGCCCAGCACTACATGCTGAAGCAAAGCAAATCACGCAGTGGGTGGAGCAATCTCTCCTCTCCCTCAAGGCAGCTCACATAAAGAGAGACCTGAACCAGAAGGCGGACTGGCTCAGCAGGCGCAAGATGAACAAGTGGGGCCTGAATTAGGATGTCTTACAGTTAATCGTATGATCATTCGGCCTGCCATCAACCAACTTATTTGTGAACCATGTGAATGTGAAGAGACTAGAGCACCGTACCAGGGAAGTGGACCCCATATCCATGGGAACAAATGCCCTGTTACACTGATGGCTAAACGGTCTGCTCTATGCATTTCCACGCTTCCCATTATTAAGGAAGATGGTCAAGAAAATAAAATGAGAACGGGCAACAATAATATTGATTAAATACACATGGAATGAGGAGATCCTGGTTTTGGGACTTGTTAGGGCTGAAATTAGGACTGCTGCTACAGCTCCCAATGGAACAGGACATCCTCCCATAAGATCCTTCTGCTTTATTTGGACCTGAACTAGCTGTATCAAACAGCCTGGCTATTGAAAGGGAAGCACTAGTATCATTGAGTCTGTCCTCCAAAGTCATCAGAACACTTCTTTCAAGAGTATTAATCTTGAAACCATACTCCTCTCTCTGGACCAAGTTTTGCATTTGGTGCCAGGAACATGAAGCAAACCCAAGAAGTCCAGGAATTATGGCTATTTTGGTTTTCTCCAAGAAGTTTTTGCCAAAGGTCTCCAGCCCAACACAATTACTTCTCAGGTGTCTGCCCTTAGTAGTGTGATGTTTTCAGGATCCACAGGTTCTCTGGCAAAGAACCCCCAGATAGCCAGATTCCTTAGGGAAGTGCAGTTAGCCAATCTGGCAATTAGAACTCTTTTTCCCAAGTGGGACTTGCCACTTGGACTGAGAGTCCTCACAAACCCTTCAAACCACTGATGTCAGTGTCAGCATTAAACTTGTTTTGGATGGCCATCATGTCCACCAGGCAAGCATTGGAGCTGGCAGTGCTCTGTATGTAGGAACTTTGCTGCATGTTTCAGGAGGACAAGGTGCTGCTCAGAATTCGAGAATCATTGGTCCCGAAGGTGAACTCTTCTTTCCACGGTTCCCAAGAGATGGTTCTACCTTTATTCTGTCCAAGGCCACAGCATCCCACCACGGAGAGGTGGCACACCTTAGAAGTCAGAAGGGCTCTGAAAATTTGCCTTAAACAGAGTCCACAAGGAGATCAGGTGCCATGTTTGTATCCTTCCATGCAAGGACTCAGAGCTTTCATACCTCTATTGGTAGGGGATTAGACTGCATTGTGGAAGCAAAAAAAGCATCGGAAATTCCAGTTCCAGAATGTTAGAGCATGCTCCATGTGATTCCTGGCGACCTCATGGGCAGAAAGAGTTAGTTCCTTCACAGCAGAAAATTGTAATGCTGGTCAAATGCTCCCATCTTCATTGAGCACTACTAGCTGGACTTCCTGTCCTCTGCAGAGGCCTCCTTTGGCAGGAAGGTGCAGCAGGCGGTGAACCAGAAATTATTTTGCCCTTTGAGCAAATATTATAGATGGGGATGGATACCGTTTTCCTTTTTCTGACCTTTTCTGTAACATTCTTCCCAGACATCTGAAATTGTGGGAGACGCTGGACTGCAGAGCGGGAAATTTCTTACCAATAATTTTCTTTCCGTTAGCAGCATTTCCCACAATTGTATCCATCCTGGATGCCTCATGAGCTGAAGATCAGATATTAAGTGGAATCATTACCATACAACAATCTTCTTTGGTCTAATGTACATAGTTCATTATCTCTGTAATATTTATTTTTTGTTGATGTTATGCAAGTTTTACAGCTTGGAAATAACTCATCTGGAAGCAAGCTGAGGGGGGCATGGCTGTGTGGCTCCAAAACTCTGATTCGCTTCCATGAGCTACAGAGAAAGGAGAGCAGCCCAGACATAAAGAATTGTGGGAGATACTGCTAGCAGAAAGGAAACTATTTGTAAGAAATTTCCCTATCATAAGCCCCATTTTACGTAGGGTGAAACTGAGGTGCAAAGAGGTGAAGTGATTTGTTCAAGATCACATATCAGGTCATACGGCTTGCAGTAGAACTTGAGTCTCTCATTGCTGTATAGTGCCCTCTCCATTGGGCATTTCTTCCTCTTTATCCTCATCTAAGATAATTGCTTGCAGGAACTTACCCAGAGCCTTCTATCAAACTACCTTATTTGAGTCTTTCCTTCACAAAGTTCCTTGAAGATCTACTGAAAGGATTTTGTGTTTGTGTTGAGGGGATTACACCCAGTAATATACAGTGGGCTCACAATTTGACTTTCTGGGTCTGGGGTTTCCACATTAAGTTCTGTTTTTGTTCTAACCACAAAGTTTGCAATTCGTGTGTCAATCTTGAGACAGGAAGCTAATAGCAGAGGATTGCTTCATAGTTAGTCAATACAATACATCTTGTGGGTGACTTTGAGATGAGGCCTTCGTGCTTTAACACATTTATCCACCTGGTGGTACGCACCTTTACCACTAATCAAGTAAAATAATACTTGTGGGTTTATTACAGCTGTTCATTAGTTGACGGAACATTGTTTTTAGGGCATGGTCAGAAGAGTATTTATTTTTCAACTTCCCTCTAGGAGCATTTCAGTGTCCTATAACACATTCTGCCTCTTTAGATGTGCAGGAGTGCCATTTGGAATTTTAATAGCCACTTCATTCTGTGTGTCCTGGAACAACTATGTACAAGAAACCCAAGGACAACCATACCTACCTTCATAATAATAACCCCAAAAAATCTGTTCCCTACAGCCAGGCACTCAGATATCACAGTCCGGGATATACACCTTAACACACTCAAAACCATCTTCACTAAACAAGGATGATCTACCAGAGAAGTAAATCACATCATGCAACGGGCCGCCCAAACATCCCAAGAGAACCCGTTTCAATACAGAAATAAAACAAAACCCCCTCCAACCACACACCCCTAGTTGTCACCTTCAACCCCACACTGGAACCCCTACAGGGTATCATCAAAGAAGTACAACCCACACTTGATGGGGACCCTATCTTGAAAGAAATGTTTCTTGAACCCCTTCTTCTGACCTTCAAGCAACCCCTCAACCTCTCCAACCTCATCATTGGATGCAGGCTCCCCACAGACCCAGACACACCAACTCAGAGCAGCACCAGGCCTTGCCAGAACAATAGATGCAAAACCTGCATCCAATAGCTTCATTGCTACAATGATCAGCGTCCTCCTACAACACACCTTTCAAGATCCATGGATCCTACACATGCCTATCTCAACATGTGATGTACCTCATCCAGTGCACTAAATGCGCCAATCACAGCTATGTGGTGAAACCAGACAATCACTATGCTCTCAAATGAACTCTCACAGAAAAAGATAGGGTGTTTTTATCACCTGTGGGTGAAAAATTGTCACAAAGCAAACCCTCTGTATCTGACCTGTCAATCTGCATTGTCAAAGGAAACCTGCACAATGCTCTCAAAAGAGGAGCCTGGGACCTTAAATTCATAACTTTGCTAGACACTGAATCATGTTTTAAAAGAAACACTGGATTTATGGCTGCTTATAACAATCTGTAACCCACTAGACCCCTCCCCCCCCCTTTTTTTGTCCTATGACTACAGGTGTGGTAACAGACCACTTCACCTTGAGTGATCACTTAGAACAGTGTTTCTCAACAACCAGTCCCTGAGATCTCCCTGACACAATTTAGGAAGGAGCAAGCTGGTGCCTGGTATCAAAAAGGTTGAGAAACACTGCCTGAGAATATGTGCAAAGTACTTATGCTAAACTATCTGTTCCATCTTGTATTTAGTTGTGATGCTCGGAGTGCCTTTCCCAGACCCGAAGAAGGGCTTTGCGTAGCTCAAAAGCTTGTCTCTCTCACTAACAGAAGTTGGTCCTATAAAAGATATCACACCCACCTTGTCTCTTTAGTATCCTGGGACCAACATAGGTACAACATTGCATACATGTACCTGAAATGTAAGTTAAACTCTTAGGGCTTTTCTACATTCTGATCTAAATCCATGTGTGGATGCACTCTCCAGAATAAGAGCATCTGCACATGGAGAAAATCAGGAATGGTTAATCGGCCTTAAATTTACACTCTGCCTTATTCTGGATTAATTTTCATGTGTAAACAAGCCCTTAGAGTTTGAAAAAATGTGTAGTCTTTGTAACAATCCAAGAAGTGTCAAATGAAAGTGAACTGACTTTTTATGGAGAAACTAAGCAATAAAGAATTGCTGTTCATACTGACCTCTTCATTGTTGTAGATATAGTGATCACTTCTTGTTTTCATAGCAGTCTAGATTTGTCTGAATTGGCAAAAGCAGCTAAGAAGAAGCTTCAGTCTGTAAGTAAAGCATCTACTTAACCTATGCTATGCCACATGTAGTCTTAGTAACATGGCAAACTTCTGTATTTCATCTCCCAAGTTGTTACTGACTATAATGCAGTGTGGTTTTCAGTAGTCCTGCCTATACAAATATCACTTCCATATTAACTAATACATTCAAAGGAGAACATGGAAGGAGGCCGAAAAAGGCATGAGGGGGAAATAAAAACCTCAGTATTTGCTGGTGGATGGGAGATGAAGTTTATTTGTGGTTAGGAAGAACTGCAAGAAAGATCTCTGTGATTCTGCCTCTCATTAATAATGTTATCTCAAACTAATGACCTTTAATTTTATATTATCTCATGCCTTCATGTGTTCCATACATACACTGCATGCTCAAATGTTGTTTTATTTGCCTTTAACTTTTTGAGAAGTAAGAATAGCTGTACTAGTGTTTGCCTGATACAGTTGCCTTTAATACTGGTTCATCTAGTATCTTTTTTTAAAATACTTCCCAAAGCAATTTCCTGCTTAAGACGGGTTGAGAATCTATTGGGCCTGCTCTATAATACCATCAGTGTTCCCTCCAAAGAGAGAATTTTCAACTATTTCATTCTGACTTTGCTTCAGGGGATGAAAGTAAGTTGGGGAAGGATGACTTTTGTATCATCCTCTTATGCAGCAATGTGGTGTGTTCTGCAAAGATTGTAGTGATGGCAGTAAAACTTCTGACTAAACTGGGCAATAAGTCTGGAGAATAAAATGCAGTACAAGAAAAAAATTTCAGCCAAACACAGACCCTCCAAAATTGAACCCTATCTCCACTTTTAAACCCACTCCGTTAGCAGGCATTACAACCCTACAAGTAAATGTAGATGTACTCTTGATGACTCATTGTAGCTGTTGTTAACTCCACCCTGGACATAAGGTTGGGAGTAACACTTTGGCTAGAGAAGGTCTTGGGCCAAACAGTCCTGGGAGGAGGCCTAGGAGCAGCCATGCCTTGGAAAGTAGGGTGATTTGGGCTGGGATTTCTTAGTTTCTTTGTAAATGAAGTCAGATCCCAGGAAAGGTGTTAAGTTTACACTGCTTCTTTGTCTTGTATTGGGGGAAGGAAGTAGGGCTGCATTCACTCATGCATTTTTACAGTTTTTAATTAGCAATTTATATTACTGGCCACTGTGAAGTCCCACGGTCCCTCTATCTGAATTAAAAATACTAGAATAACCCTGACACCTGGGTTTACACAATCTCAGATCCCTTATCGGGTCTCTCCTTCCTAACATAAGCATCTCTCTTGAACTGTTCACATTAGGCATAAATTCTGGAACAAGTAATCACTACTTAAGCCTGCTCTGCTCACTTAATCATAGAAATACCTCCCTCTCTCCTCCCCCAATATATTTATTATTGGAAGGGCTGAACTCTCATAAGATCAGGAAAAAAAGTCAGTTTTCCTTTATCTGTACTGACTGGTTGTAGAACAGGGCTGATCTGTCTAGAGCAGGAGTTCTCAAACTTCATTGCACCGCGACCCCCTTCTGACAACAAAAATTACTATATGACCCCAGGAGGGGTGACTGAAGCCTGAGCCCTGCCAGGGATAGAAAGGGCAGCAAAGCCAAAGGGTTTCAGCCCCAGTGGGGGCACCTGTAACCTGAGCTCCGCCACCCAGGGCTGAAGCCCTCGGGCTTCGGCTTCAGCGCCAGGTGGTGGGGGTCCAGCCCCGGGCCCCAGCAAGTCTAATGCCAGCCCTGGCAACCCCATTAAAATGGAGTTGTGACCCACTTTGGGGTCCCAATCTATAATATGAGAAGCGCTGGTCTAGATCAAGCACCCAGCAGGCTCTGAAGCTACTTTAGAGATTGAACAGCTTCACTCTGGCAGTCAGTCAGCTTGCTTCCTGGACTGCAAAAGTACAGGCATGCACATGTGCTTTCTGCAGCATAAGAGATTTTGGGGGGTTGATTTATTGTTACCTAATCCTTAATCACTTCACTGTTGTTTTTAGCTAAGTAACCACTTATTTGAAGAACTTGCCATGGACGTATATGATGAAGTTGACAGGCGGGAAACGGATGCAGGTGAATAAGGCTTTCTGGAATCTATATGTAGTTAAAACTTGAAATACTGTTACACCCAAGGTGCTAGTGCAAGGAAATGCTATGGGTGAAGTAACTTCTGTGTTTAGGAGTTGATTGGTACTTAGTTTCTACTACATGTAATGAGTGTTCAGTTTTATATTGGGGTATAAAACATGTTTTCCTCATTATTTTACTGAGTGGAGAATTCTCAGAAAAAGCAGTTCCTTTGACTCTAATTACCCTTAGTGTTGAACCTGTGATCTCCTGACCTAGTTCAATGAGTAGATGTTTCATGGGGTGAAGCTACTCTGACACTGGCTCTGTTTTCTCTATAAACAGTTTGGCTTGCTACTCAGAATCACAGTACACTGGTGACTGAGACAACGCTTGTCCCTTTTCTTCCTGTAAATCCTGAGTATTCTTCAACACGGAATCAGGTAAGTTATCTTGTTTGTAAGTGTTAAAAAAGCATGTTATTAACGTAGTTCAGGTGATTACATTAATAAACTGGGGGGAAAGGGACACTCCACTTAAGAGTTTACAATAGTTTCACATTACATCTGCCCTGAGTTTTTTGTTTTAGTTACATTTCCCTAAGTTTTTTTTTTTTTAATGTATTCCTCTCACTTATTTGAATCTTTCACAAAGCAGGGGAAACTGACTAATCAATTTACCATACAGGGAAAATGATGAAACTGAATGAAACAAAGTAGGGAAAAATAGAGGCACTGTTTCCCTAATCTTTCTGTTACAGTAATCTTGTGTGTTACTTGTAGCGTGCATGTGTGAAGTAAAATAAATACATACAGAAGTGTGATTAAGCAGATGGGGACCCTTCAGGGTTTTTTTTTTTTTTTTTGCAACCAGTGTATGTTAAGATAAGGTACTATATTAATGTTTAATACAAAAAGTTAACTATTGTAAACACACTAATATTGCTTCTAGGTAGTCACCTTTGTATGCAGTTTTTATTAAAACAAATGTTTGTGTGACTTTTTTAAAACCCTGAGAATGGGCTTATAATATAAATACAAAGAGCTTTAATTATGGTGCACAAATGCTGTTACTACGTATGTGTTTTGCCAAGAAATTGCTATGTCCATAAATGGTACCGTATGTGACTTTTTGCATCTTGTTCTATGTTTTAGGGAAGACAGAAACTAGCTCGGTTTAATGCCCATGAATTTGCTACACTAGTTATAGACATTCTAAGTGATGCCAAGCGAAGACAACAAGGGAATCCTGTCACTGGCTCTAAAGGTGAATATGTTTTTGGCTAATTGTCTAATCTTCTATACTTGAATTAGTATACCTGTAATTTCAGTGATACCACAGCATTATCCAGAAGTACCTCATATGACTTGGTCATTTTTTGAAATGAGTAAACAGATTAAAGTCATTGCTATAAAACGATGGGTGTATGATTTGATGGATGTAAAGAGGCCAGTAGTGTTTGCTGATGACAGCACATTTGAGCTCAAGAGTAATGCTTAATTATAGAAGACTTGAATATTAAGGGTGATATTTCTAACAAAATGGACTTGAGACATGTACACAACCCAGAAGTGTCCTTTCTGATGGAATAGAACAGCATTCTGTGGAATTCTCTAGGTGGCTTCCTTCGTCTTTGGAGACCAGAAGTTCTATAACTATATCCCCAACATTCATTTGACTGGTAATCAGGAAAATGCCAGTGTTACAGGGTTATGGCTGCTTGTCTAAATCTGGGACTCTGCTGTACTTGAACATGCCTTAGAACTTGCTAAGTGTTAGGTTGCCTGCAAATGCTCACTTTCTGTGCTGTTTGAGCATATCTGAAGTTTGCTGATCTCAAGGAGTACAACCATTTAAAACCGCAATCAAAAAGTAACACACAACTGTTGTTCCAACACTGGAGATATGAAGTAAACGTTTAAACACAAAAATATTCTCTCTAAAGAGATGCCAAAAGATCGTATTTTATTATACAATTTCCCTGAATTACCCAACTGATTGTATATGTATATGGCGATGAATACGTGTTGGCAATCTCATTCTATTTTGTACCTTATTTTCTTCACTGTGTGAAGTGTTTAAGTTAGCTCGTAAACCTTAATTCTCCTTAGTTAGTTGAAGTTGCCTCAATACTTCAAGGAGGTGAAAGGAATAAAATTGAAGACTGCAGAATCAATCTTTCACTGCTACTGTAGATTTGGCTTTTCTAGGCAATGATAATCCAGTCACACTAGATGGCGCTAACTTAATATTTTTCTTTTTCTGTTTAGAAACAAGATTTTTTTTGTCCTAACATTTCTCCTCATGTTTTCTTTTAGTCTGCTTGAAGTTCTCTTCTGATATTATTAAACAACATAAACCAATTCTGCATACAAATCCTAAATTTAACTCATTTTTGTTTATAGAAAATGTGGAACTGATATTGAAAGCTATTAACAGCCAGCATAGTAGTGAGAGTCAGGATAACGACCAGCCCGATTATGACAGTGTTGCATCAGATGAAGATACAGATCTGGAAGCAAATGCAGCAAAAGCAAATAGACAGAAGGTAGGTTTAGTAATGATGTAGGCTATTAAACCCATTCTTGCAAATACTTACGTACGTGCTTACGTTGAAATCAATTGGGGAAAACTCATGTGAGTGAAGTTAAACACATGTATAAGTGTTCATGGGATTAGGGACTCAGTGATTATTTCAACTCAGTTTCACAGTCGCTTCCCACATTCTATAAAATCTCTATGCAGGATCAGAAATATGACTTAAAACATTTGTAAGTGAAGCATTAATAAAACAGTTCTAAAAATGAGTCCCTTCCAGAATTTATTTTATCTGGAGACAAACTAGGAACCCAGTAGCACTACAGCAGTTAGTATATTAGGTCACTTGGCTTCTTTCATCAGAATATCTCAAAATATTTTACATTAAATTGCACCTACATATCAATGAGATAGCAAGTACAGATGGATAAACTAATGCAGAGACATTAAATAATTCCTGAAAATAATGCAATAAGACAGAGAACGGGGAATAGAACGTAAGAATCTTGGCTTCCTCACCTGCTTTAACCCGTAAACTAATGTAAACTAATGTGATTAATAATATCAAATACTAGTCCATGCATACTTATCAAAATCTGTATTAAACACCATCCTTTTCTTGTTTGAAATCCCAAGGCTAATATTACTTCATGTAAATGAGCTAAGAATTAATTGAGACCAGGTTTCTTCTGAGATGGTCCATAGCTTTAGTTGTATAAAGTGTGCTGTTAGGTGGTGGTGGTGGTGCTTGTTCCTTTCCTCGGTGACTCATGTGAAGTCAGTTTTGGAAATCTGTTAAAATCAGTGCAGTTTTGCTTGTTTACAGTAGATCGGGGTGGGCAAACTCTTTGGCCTGAGGGCCACATCGGGGTACAAAACTGTATGGAGGGCCGGTAGGGAAGGCTGTGACCACCAAACAGCCTGGCCTCTGCCCCCTATTCCCCCACCCCACCCCGGATCCCACCCCCTATCCAACGTCCCCTGTCCCCTGACTGCCCCAACCTATCCACACTCCCACCCCCGACAGGCTCCCCGGGACACTCATACCCTATCCAAACACCACCCCTCCCCTCCCCCCCCCACCCCTTCCCCGGCCCCAGAACCTCCGCCCCATCCAACTGTCCCCTGACTGCCCCCCGGGACTCCCCACCCCAACCGCTCCCTGTCCCCTGACTGCCCCCCAGGACCCCCTACGCAACCGTGGTATCGCTGCGCGCCGCCGCCACCCCCTTACCATGCTGCTCGGAGCGGAAGGAGCTTGCAGCCCTGCTGCCCAGCAGTGGCGTGGCTGCGGGGGGGGGGGCCAGGGCTAGCCTCCTGGGCCAGGAGCTCAGGGGCTGGGTAGGATGGTCCCGCGGGCCATTGTTTGCCCACCTCTGCAGTATATTGTCTGTCTTAGAGGTGTGGTAAGTATTTTATCTAATGTTTTATTTAAAGAGCCTGGATTCAGACTTGTCCGATGGACCAGTGACAGCACAAGAATATATGCAAGTTAAGAATGCTTTGGTGGCTTCTGAGGTAAAGATACAGCAGTTATTGAAGGTGAACATCAACCTGAGTGATGAACTGAGAACCATGCAGAAAAAGGTAACAAGTATAGTAACATAAGCAAAATTAAAATCCTGTAGCTAATTGGGTTAATTTTTATATAAATATAAAATAAGGGACCATGTGTGAAGACCAGTCAAAATATTTTGACAAATTAGAACTATTTTGGAATTGATGTAACAAAAATGAATGTATCCATGCAGAGCAAACTCTTTAATGTTTCACCTTTCATGGAAGGTGTTATTGGGAACCTAATTGATTGTTTTCCTTATTTCCAAAGCATTGTTTAAAAAAACCTCATTCCATTGTCTTGTTTCAAAATGAGCAATTGTTTGAGGCTTTGGAAACAGCTGATAGCAGATGGGCATAAAGTGCACCTTCTGCTTTCTGTTAGGTCCGTTATTTAATCCAATAATAAGGTCTAATGCTTATACACATTTTAAAAGTCTCTGTTGCAGGCAAGACCAGTTTAGCATATGTTAAAAGTATACATATGACAAGTTAAAGCCAGGCTACCAGACCTTCAAATCCTATTGTAGACAAGGTCACTGTGTCCCAACAGGCCAGTAACAAATATAGTACATCACATGCTTGCGTATTAGTTGTCTTCATAGAACTAGCTATAATGTTGGTATACATGTATGCTAAGATATCTGCTAGGTTTTAAGAAAACATAGGCCGCTTTATGGGATGATCACCACCAAACAGTATGACTGGAAGCCAAGGTGCAAAAGTTCATTGCAGGTAAAGAAAATAGAATTGCTGAAACTGAAAATGGAAAAGACCCACTAGATCTCTTGGTGCATAAACTTCCTTTGTCTGCAGGAGATCAGGTATTGATACTAGAAAGTCACTAAGATTCTAGAATTTAACTAGTCAACATTTAACTAGTCAACCAACATTCAAATAGGTGAGGTAAGATCTAGTGCCCAAAGCATACAGGATTAGTTGTATACTTTTTCAATGGGTCAACGTACATGTGGATTCCTTATCAAAACCTATAACTAATTGCTTATTCTCAGTATTACCTTTTTCTGTTTTTGTTTTTTTTGGTGATCTGCACTGCCTGTTCCTTATTCTGGCTGTCTGCCATGCTGTCCTGTCTACTTTGTCGGGAAGGGATTCCATTAATTGACATAAAACCAGTCCCCCTTTGAAGTTGTGCAGCTGTGGAATGGCACATAATTGTAACTGCAGTATTCTATAATTAGAGAAAACCAGCCCAGAGCTGCTGTCAAGCTACAGTACTGGAGATGTCAGCTTTCCTAAGGTAGCTCAAGAGTTATGTCAACGAGGACTAGGAAGATTGTACTACCTGTTTTCTCTAGTGTCCTGGCACGATGCCACTCTACAGTGCTGCTGCTTTCAAGAGCCTGGAATGTTTGTCGGCCTCTGAGCTATTAGGATTTAATGCCAGTCTAATTCATGATTTGAGAATATCTTCTTCTTTATCCCTAACCTGATAAACTGAGCAGTTGGGACATGGTTTCAAGTGTTACTGTCCAAGTTGCTCTCTCTCTCAAAGCAGATAACAGCAGATGCAAAACACATCTGTGCACACAAAGAGGGCAGTTGTATGTACAGTTACCTGTTTTTGCCTTTTAAGATCTCTGTTGGAACCCAAAATTTATAGAGGAACCTAAGACATCTTATGGGACTTCTTTGCTACTTTTGCAGGTGTCTTGATTAAGCAGTTGTCTGCATCATTTGAATTAATTTTTGGTTTAGAGATAAATTTATGCTTTAAGGAACCTAATCTTAGAAAAAGCTTTTGCTGTCCGAGTGGGGTAGCCATTGTACACTAGGATTTTAGTACGCTGATACAGCATAGTGGGAGGAGACAGGGCCAGATTTTCCTGCGCAGCAGATGCAGGGCATAGGGTACATCAGAGAGCCAGTCATAGCTCCCTCATGTTGAGGATAAGTTTGCACTGGCCCCAGATCCAGTGATGTTTAGAACAGCTATGGGGCTGCTCTGATTTGTCATTGGCTTAGTGACTTACACCAACAACGGCTAGGCATAACAAAGCTCATAAGAACGGCCATACTGGGTCAGACCAAAGGTCCATCTAGCCAAGTGTCCTGTCTTCCAACAGTGGCCAGTGCCAGGTGCCCCAGAGGGAATGAACAGAACAGGTAATCAAATGTGATCCATCCCCTGTCACCCATTCCCAGTGTCTGGCCAACAGAGGCTAGGAACACTATCCCTGACATGATTCTTCCACCTTTCCCTCTGCTCTGAGGGGAAGGGGGATAGATGGCATAGTACCTAGCTACAGTAGCTGTAGGCCAATAAGAAGTTGCTGTCTGCCAAGGGAGTTTTCTGCTGGCCAGTTGTGGTCAGAATCTAAATACTTTGCAGCACCTGAGAAGAGCAAAGGAGCCAGATCTCATTTGAGCATATGGCCCTTGGTCTCTTAATTGGCATAGGTTTATTTGATTTTTTAGGCATAGGTTAAATTTCAATATTGAAGATTAAAAATTGTCTGTCTCATATAGTTGTCTAGTAGCATGATATGTATCTGATTTCTCACACTTCAGTTATTTGAAAAAGATAGCACTTCAATAGAGGCTCTGCCTCCTCTTTAATTATGTCACTTATGGATGGGTTCCCCCTAAATCGAGTAAAAGGGTGATCTTACAAAAAAAGATGACTTTCTGACACATGGGCACTTGTTTGTGAACTTAAACCTTGACCGTGATGAAGAATTTCGACAGTGGTGGTGAATTGATCTGATATGACAATAGATGAACAACAGCAGACAGCTGAAATTAGACCACACCCGGTTTATAAAATAGGTGGTGGAAAATAAAGGGAAAAGGTCCATGCTGCACAATCTCCTGCATGATTGTATTAAAATGTCAAACTTTTAAGGAGTAACATTGCTCTTTACTGATCCTTAAATCTTAACACACAATACACGGTATGACAGACTGCACCGAGCAGGGAAAGGTAATATTCAAAATGGCTTTAGGATGCTAGTCGGAATCTTCGCTTACGGGTTCTGGACGGCGTCAGGCCGACTACAATTTTACATCACAGACTGATTTTCTTAAAGGTTCACTTGACGCAAAACAAAATACAATATTCAGTATTTACTTGCGATTCCTAATGAACGGCCATCAGCTGTCTGAAACCGTATGCTCCATATATTGTTTGAGAAGAGGTACATAATATTTAAATATTTGCAGTTTTCTTCATGATGTGTTAATATAGCAAACTTATTCTGAGAAATTTTCTTCTACAACAGAATTTAAATTGTTGCACGTTTTCCCCACCCACAGATTTTAATAATCCCATTGGCATCTTAGAAAGCAGTAGCTGATATCCTGTTTGCGTAATCTTAACTTCACTGTCTTCTTGCTTTGCAAAGCAAGCTCTGGTTTTCTTTGTGCTGTATCTGTGCTATAATTTTAGCAGTTGCATATTCAGAGGCTTTATTTAAGTCATTTTTAAGTTACTGTAGTAACTGTTTGCTGAACTGGAGTGCTTTGCTTGAAAAGAATTTATTTTTCTGTTGTTCAAACAGCCTTCGTGGTAATGAAAAATTTATGTAAAAGTACATCTAACCTGGAAATGGATCTTACGCTTTTAACTGCAACAGCCAAATGTAAGATCCAATTTGACTTGCATCCCAACTAAAATAATAGTAAGTTGAAACTGACACTTATAAATCTACCACACCTGCAGTAAAATATTTTTTGTCTGAGCAAATGAAGTAGATTTTAAGAGAAAATTCCATTTAATAATAATAAATCCAGCAACAGCTGGTTGGATTTTTTTTTTTTAAGGTGACAAGCTGTATTTGTGTACTCAGTTTGCTTGCTGTAGAAAAACAAAGTCCCACTGCTAAACATTTCTTTCAGCTTCAAACACTACAGAGTGAAAATACGAACCTCAGAAGACAGGCCACAACCAATATATATCAGGTCCAAACTGGTTCTGAATACGCAGACCCCAACAATCATTCTTCTTTAAAGCGGCGACCATCTACACGAGGTAGCAGACCTATGTCTATGTATGAGACTGGATCGGGTCAGAAACCCTACCTCCCAATGGGAGAAGTCACATATCCAGAAGAGAGCATAACAAGACTGCAGCCTTTCCCTCCACATGTAAGTAAAACTGCTAATGCTTCTGCTCTTCTTTGTATGTTCAGCTTTTTCTATTGCAACTCTTCTTGTTTACTTGATTATTTACCAAAATCTCTAGACTGCCTGCTTCCTGGTAAAGTAAAACAGTAAGAATTATCACTGTTTGCTGTATTAACATGTCTGCAGGAGCTCAATGGTTTGAAGAATAAAAGGTGTAACAATTCTCAAATATGTAAATTGAAGCTTTTGGCTTCTGCTCAGCTATTTCCTTAGCCACAATATATTTGCCAGTATATCCATGCATGAGTTTTTCAAAAGTAGGAGAGAAAAACCCAGTATTCAACAAGATAGGTGTAGTTTGTGGATCTCTGATCTTGGGGCATACAGGTATGTGCTTATACATGGAACTTGCAAGCCTTTTAAAAACAGTAGGATTGAACTTTGCTGAAGATTGCTCATGAGTAGAAATGCTACATCGAAGCACTGAAGAGAGTTTACTTTCATGGATCTCTCTGCAATACTACCTTTCATTATAGTCTCTTATTTTGTTTGGTTTTTTAACTCTCTAGTGTTCACAGCCTAGTTTTTCAGGTGGCCAAGTCCATCCTGATTAGTATTTTCCTAAATTATTAAAGTTCCAATAGTGTGGTCAGCATGGATGCTGATTCTTCCCTAAGGAGTTTGCATTCTAGACTGACAACAAAAAATACACCAACATTTGAGTTCATTCTTCATCGTATCTTTTTTTAAATTGCCAGAGGCAGGGGGAAATGTGTGGCAGTATTTTTTTTTTTTTTTTTTTTTTGCTGACATGAATCAGGATTTTAAGGGTTATCAATATGTTGTCTCTGGGACAGCACTATCTTGTATTCTCCTCTCAATTGCATACATTAAATGCATTTGAAAGAGACTGCTTAATTGTTTGAAAGTTGAAATTTCTTTCCTGGCTTGAAAAAAGTGCCATGTGCATATAAAACAAAATGCTTGGTGCAAGCAGCAGTCATGAATGTCTAAACTATTTTACAAGAGTGCCATTTTGGCAGATGATGCTGAACCATCCGACATTAATGCTAAGAGCTTGAATGTTTTTCGGTCTGATTAACAAGTATGGGACTTCTCAAACTGCTGGAAATAATAAAGTGCTTATTAGAAATTCAGACTAGATGATAAAAGCTATATCACCGTAGATTATGTTGACTTGCTGTGAAAGATTTCAGTATAAAGGCAGTTCCTGCAGCAAGAAATGACAGAACTCTTCTGTACATAGCAATTTATTCAAAGTGTAAGAAAGCTTCATAGGTTCCTGAAACTTCTCATTTGTTAATGTCTTGTTGGTTTAGAACTAACAGTTCTGAAGCATTACTTTCTTCCTTGTGAAACTTGGTTACAGAAACATACTTTTTTCCTTTAATAAAACCTTTCTACTCAAACGTAAGTGGCATATATTAGTTAAATGAACGCCTTTGCAGAAACAGAATTTTGGTGAATGTATTTGTTCACTTTGGAATTCAACATCTTTTAATACGGATACCAGAATTAGCTTAAAGAAGTCAAATGCGTTTTGCCAGAGTTCCAAGTCCAGTCTAGCTCAGTCAGTTTTCTCAGTCATTCTGACCATGTCTTCTCTTTGACTATCCAATTTTTAAAATGTACATATGTTTAAAAGTTATTTTCAGAGTATTTGTGGGTTCTTTATTTTGTTTTCCCGAGTGTTTTTCTCTCCCCTCTCCCCCCCCCCCCTTTTTTTTTTTTTTTTTTAGATCGGGAGGAGTGCGTTTGTGACCTCCTCTTCATCTCTGCCTTCCTTCCCCTCCACGCTTTCCTGGTCAAGGGATGAAAGCACACGAAGGGTTAAGTACCTTCTGAATTGGTCTGTTACCTGGAGGAGGTGGCCATCTCCCTCGAAGCCTTGTGCCTCTGTCCTTTCCCCTCTATCTGCTAACTGGCCTTCATCCCTGCATGAAGCAGCACTTCATCACTTTCACTTTCTTTTGGCACTTACTATGGACACGCCTTGCTTCACTCTTGTCTAACTTCACACCAGCTAAAATACCTGTAGGATTTAACACCATGCTCCAGATCACTTATCCCACAATATGCTGTTGAAAATGAGCTGGTTGCTGAAGAAAAGTAATTTAGCAAGCACTTACTGGCTCATGAAATATCAGTATGTACTTTTTCTGCTGACTAAAATGCATTGCATGGGACACAGGTATGCTCAAAGGGTTAGTAAAAGCTATGGAGCCCATTACCTTTAGGGGTCACCACTTTGCATCCAGTCCAGGGTGGTACTGATGGGCAGAGATGTTACTTTTTGACAGCTGTTCGGTAGACTGTTTGAAATGAGTGAGCTCTTTGTCCAGTTATATCAGACAAGCATCCATATCACCCACCACTTCATTTAACATTGCGTAGCCCTTTTACTGGTGGTACTGAAAGAAGTGAAGGCTCGAATGGGCCTGGAGACTGAACTCATTCCTAGCAATGCTCCTTTTAGTTCAGGGTTCAAAGAACCTTCATGGCACCATGTAGAGGAAGCTTACATTGCTGCTGCCTGAGAATCAGCAAACGTTGGTTGCTAGGTCCTTACAAAAGCATGACACTGACTTCAAAAAAAAAAAAAAAAAAAAAGCCATTGCATTATGGGATTTTTAAGTGCTCTATAAAAGTCTATGGTATCCCAAAGATACTTCTATTTGCATGGTTTCTGACTCATAGATGAATAGTTTTAGTTCCGAACTACAGAACTGCAGGGTTCACTGAGGCATTATGGTCTAGATAATAGTCCTGCCCAGGAGTGCAGGAGACTGGAGTAGATGACCTCTCGAGGTCCCTTCCAGCCCTGTGATTCTGTGATTATATACCTTTTTATGAAAACATTGAAATGTGAAACAGATAAGTATGCAGTTCTCAAACTGTGGGTTGGAATCCCAAATTGGGTCGCAACCCCATTTTAATGGGGTCACCAGGGCTGGCTTAGACTTGCTGGGGCCCAGGGCCAAAACCCAAGCCCGAGGGTTTCAGCCCTGGGCAGCGGGGTTAAGGTTACCGATCCCAGTCTGAGGTTGAAGCCCTTGGGCTTCGGCTTTGGCCCCCCGGCCTGGGGCAGTGAGGCTTTGGCTTTACCTCCCCACCTGGGATGGTGGGGCTTGGGTGGGTTCCAGTCCCCCTCTCCTGGGGTCCTGCAGTAATTTTTGTTGTCAGAAGGAGATTGCGGTGCAGTGAAGTTTGAGAACCCCTGCTATATTCTCATCCTTGTTATATACTTTTCCACTGCAGTCTTAAATCCAACCCAATGTGAGGACAGTTAATAGAAGCACAGAATGAAGTGTCCGCACTACAAAATTGCAAGGTTAGGGATGGCTGGCTAATTGAACAATCTGATACAGTAGACTGGTCATGCCTGATTTCTTTTTTATACACTTTACATTTTGTGTGGGATCTTAGAAATATTTCTATGTATCCAAAAAATTGCAGAATAATGCCATCTGAACCAGCCCCAACTACAAGGTAACCATTGTAAAAGAACTGTGCTTTTAACAAATAGATTCTTGCTATACATGTTTATTCAGCATATTTCAGAATAAGTTATTTTAAAACAGATATCTTTTACACACTCTTTGAGCAAGAAACGTTTGCATAAGTGTATGATAGCTGAATCACCCTTGGGTCATCATAGTGAGTGATTTGCATTTCTCATCTGCAGCTTGGATCCGCAGTTATTAAGTGTCTTTAATAGATGTAACTATCATCGCTATATACTCCTTAATACATTTGTATTCTTCCTATACTTTTATGTTGTTTTATACAAATATATTTATGGGTAGTTTTGACAGAACCCATTTTGTAGTATTGTGTGTTATTGATTTAAGCTCTACTTTTCATTATTAAAGCAGGACTTTCACAGGAGCAAACTAAAGGAGAAAAGCATTCATAGATGACTTTTTAAACCAAGCCTATTTTTGCAGATATCTTGCTTTACAAAAGACCTTCTCTCCCTTTTTAGCTCAACTGTTCCATGTGTCTGATGCCGCAGTGAAATCACAACCCTGTAGCTGACGCTGTATCAGTCTGGTTCTTTGGCAGCTATGTAGTGTCTCAAGTCAAGCTTTTATTTAACAGTTGAATTGGGAGGAATATAGCTTTGTATATCAACGTTTTGAGGGTTCATTTGCGTTTCAGATGCTTATTTTTTAGCCAGATATTTGTTTTCTTCAGCATGAAAGTCCCTGTTTAAAACCTCAGAAGATAAGTTAATTCTGACTACAAGTGATATGGCGACTTCTGCCCAATCTGAAAAATACTTGATTTACATGGAATAGTAGCAGATGACAAATCGTTAAGTGACTGTTTTCTTTCACAGTGAAGTGTGAATTGCCAATTTGGGTACAGTTGATTTATCACTGGAACTAAAAACTTTCTCAGATTTGTTGTGGGGGGAGTTAATCCTACTTTACACATATCTAATTCCAGTAGTAAGGGTAAGTCCTGGTTTTTTAACTGGCTGTTTTTGTTTGTGACCAGAGTATTCAGCTTTGCCATTTAGCAAACAGTTTCTATCTGTGTACCATCTGATAGATAAATAAATGCCATACAAATGCTATTATGTACAGCTTTATATTGTCAGAATATGCCTAGTATTGTTTTCAGATTCTGTCTTCTCTTGTTCCCTTACTAGATGTAATCAAAAGAACACCACAATTTAGGTTTCTTTCTATGCAAGGTAGCTGTAAATTGGATAGTTTGAGTTGTTCAGAGCAGGGACTGTCCTTCAGTGATTGGAAAGCACCTGGCACATGGAGGTACCTCTCTAAATAAGAATAATAGAAAGGGTTGTCCATCAGGCTTAGCCTAATTTATGCCTGTTATAATGGACAGTGCATGTTAAGTATGCTGATTTGAGCCTTCCTTTAATATCCATTTCTGGAGATTTCCTTGATCTTCACTCTGTTTTTCTAATAAAGATCAGTGGGAGGTTAATGTGACTGCGAATGAGGAAATCCCATAGCATTGTTGGGATTGGATTTTACTTCAGGGCCAGGATCTGCACTGTGCAGTAAAAGACCAAACTTCAGAGTGACATTAATGTAGCATGTTTATAAGTGGGAAGGGTATAATTGTCTGTCTGTCTTCTAGAAAAATGTGTACTAATGTAGAATGCCCTGGTCTGGGCACCACTGAGGGGAGTTGTAGTTGCTAAGTTGCTGCATCTTTGCTGTTCTTTGGTGTCAGGCCCAGAAGACAAGAATAAGTAGTAATCCAGGGCTACTGTTTGAAGAAGGAGGGAGAGAGCTCCAGAGTATACTTTCCTTTCTTGCTTTTGTGTTATGTTTTTCAGTCCCATGGAATTATTCCCAAGTTGCAAACTTCCCATGGATATGAATTCCTGGGATTGGTGTGGTAGTGAGGTATTCAGAACAAAAATCATTGGGATGTATATTCCCTGGGTATAAATTATACCAGGAGCTCACAGAAGTGGTAGAATAACTTGTTACCTGAAAGATTACACGGAACTTAATGAAAGAAACTTCCTGAGTTTAGAGGACCATATGGTGGCATCTCAAGGGATACAAATCCCAAGTCATAAGAATACAAGTAAACTCAGTTATTATGGTCCCTCTGCTCAGGAAAAAGTGTGCTAAGTGCCTCATATTGAGGAAGGTTAGAGGCAACTCAATAATAGGTGATGTCCCCCTCTTGCCCATAAAGTGGTCATATGTTGCATTGGAAGACGTAAGACTTGTGGTTGTCTGGGAGTTGAGCTAATTCCATTTTCCAACTCGAGGCTTCTGCAAAAGCACATTTGCTCAGTCATTTGAAACTGGGTGGTTGTCAGACTCCAGAAGTGATCCCAAGATCGTTGTGTGGTGTCCCTTTTGAATATCCTGGGAACAGAGGCAAAATTTTCTTGGGGGCAGGAAGATCATCAGTGGCAAGTGGCTGAATGTTGGGTTATGATGTTAAAGAAGCAGAACCCCTGCTCTGTAAAGCTGAACAGCTTGTAATGGTTGGGGAAGAACATTCCCTGATATGTTAAGGTACAAAATGTATTTTAAAAATAAAATACTTAATGTACTTCATGAAGAAACTACTTACTAAAGAAGGAATAACTAGCCAGGCAAGTAACTTTAATTCTTTTAGGTGAAATGGAGGAATAACCTACAGTATTTAACTCCTTTCAGCATTGCTGCTGCATAAAGTGACGTAAGCATACATGGCAGCTGTCAGTGAGAGAAATTAATAAAATCTCAGCCCATAAGATCTTAACCTAAAATGTGTGAGTGAGTATAACGTAGCACAGAACAGACACTAATGGCCATGACAGGTTGAGCTTGTAAAGTAATGTAGGACCTAAATGAAGTCTTGTGCAAAGAGAAGTAATTAGTTTATACAGGGAATAGTTCCCTGGCAAAGTTCTTGACTCTTTCTTTTTTTAAGGTTCTATCCTTAAACATTTCTTTATTCTTTGTAGGCATCGAAATTAGAGAAACAGAATAGCATGCCTGAAAGTGACTATGATAACCCCACCCCCAGTTTGGAGCTGGATGAGACGGGGTATGTCTTATTACATGAATGAGCTAATGTTTGTGTCTGTATACTGTCTGAAGGCATAAAGCTCTAGTTAAGTGCTAATAGAAACTGCTGTGTAGTACAGTGACCACTTCAACATTCTTCCTTTTTTCCCCAGGCCAGGTAGGAAAGGAAGGCAGAGAAGTGTCATTTGGCAGGGGGAAGGGGCTATCCCCGAGAACTCGGATACAGATGCAACCCCAAGTTCCACTTTGCCCAGTACAGAAGATGTTATTCGAAAAACTGAACAGATCACTAAAAATATCCAGGAGCTGCTGCGAGCGGCACAAGAGAATAAGCATGACAGGTAAGAAGGGGAGTCTAAGTGCTCTGGAATTTCCAAGATTAAAAAACAGTAAAATGCTTCCAAGCATAGGAACTTTAATTTCATGTAAATGAATCATGTATGGTCATGTGTTCCCTTGGCTGCAGGGAGCAGCAGATGTTGTTGGGGCTGTGGGCAAAAGGACATGGAACAGCTTCTCTCTATGGAACGCTTCCTCGGGACTTGGCAGATATCCATGGGAGTAGCTGCTGTTTGGAGCAGTGTCTACTCCCAGTCTGCCCGCATCCCACTCAGTAAGAAGCAGTACAAGCCAGGGGAAGTGCTGGGAGATGGCTCCATTGCAAATCCTGTTGCCAAGAAAGCAGAGGTCAAGGGACCCCTGCAGAGGCCGAGGGACAAGTGGGATTTACCCATGGATCCTCAAACTACACAGGAGTTATAGATCAGGGCACCTAGAAGGGAACGTTCAGCAGTAACTGAGTGTAATCTCTGTGAAACAACTGCAGTCAGGAAGGATTTGGCCCTTAAACTGCAGATAGTTTTGTTTGTGTACATAATTGCTATGTTCTCTGTAATAGTTAGGGCCCTACCAAATTCACGACTAGGAAAAACACATCATGGACCATGAAATCAGACCTCTTCCATGAAATCTACCTATTGGACGGGGTGAGGAGCAGGGCTGTGGGTGCCCCAGATGAGGGCTCCTACCATGTACTGTGCTCTAGCTGTTAGATTGCCAGGCTGGGGAGGGATGGGACTTCCTCTTCCCCTGCATGGCCACTTCTTGGGGTAGATCAGCCCCACTTCCAGGTACTTCCCTGGGCTGCAGGAAGCTCTGTGGCTGCGCTGCCTTCAGGGCTTCCTGCAGCCAGAGGAGGTTCCCGGAGGTGGGTCTGATCTCCCCTGTGTTGCTGAAAGCACCCCTATCGGGAGGCTCCTAACTGCTAGTCCTGGCCGGGCTGGGGAGGGACAGGATTTCCTCTTCCCCTGTGTGGCTGCTTGGGTGTGGCAGGAGGTTTAACCCACCTCCGGGTACCTCCTCTAGCTGGAGAAAGTTCCATGGCTGTGCTGCCTTCAGAATCCAACTCTGAAGGCAGTACAGAAGTGAGGGTGGCAATCCCACGCCCTCCCGCCCCCCCCGACAAACACAACTGCTTTGTGACACCTACCTCCACAACCCTCTTTTGGGTCGGGACCCCCCCCCCCCAGGCTACAACACCCTGAAATTTCAGATGTAAACATCTGAAAATGTGAAATTGACTAATTTTAAAACCGTGAAATTGACCAAAATGGACCGTGAATTTGGTGGGGCCCTAGCAATAGCCTTGTATCGTCTGTTTTTTACAGCAATAGATCAGAACAGCTTTTGCTAACGGCTTAACTGTTAGAGTAGAGCCAAGAACTAGATACGCTTCTCTCAAGTTTGCCAGCGCTAAAAATCAAAGCGGCTTATTTATCTGAACAACAAGTTAGTACTCGGCCTGAGCTTCCCCCCATGCAGTCTGACCTGACCATTAACTCTGCCAGATCTCCATGAGTTGTTGGTAATGATTCTTTGTAGTGCACAAAGAGCAGGTGGTTCTCCTAGGTAGTTTTTTATAGGCATATAATGGCAGGTATATCATAGCACATGTTAGTGCATTCCATGTTAGCCCTGAGTAGTCCTAGGCTCCAAATAAATTTCTCTTTTCCTGTGGCAATTCTCATATTAGAACGTCAGTCACAGCCTCAGCGCTGAAGGACTACACAACACGTTACCTGTGAAACCAGCTAACTACCTTTGTTAAATCTTGCAGCTCATATAATTTAATTTCTGAGTTCTTTACCTCCACGACTGAGAAAAATAGGCAACGGTTGCATTCTGGGGGGCCACTTCTGCTTCTTCCATACTTTATTTACTTGGTTTGCACTTTGCTTTGGCTAGGAGGGAGATGCACGTGTTTCCTTTGTGATCCTGGGTGAAGAAGTCAGAGTGCATTTTCTGACTCAGCTCACTTGAGTCAAAATTCAGACTTAATCCCTTCCATAAACCACTCTTCTTTTTTGCTCCCAGGATTTTTACAAAGGGGAGATGCAGTAAAAAAAAAATAAAATTTTAAATAAGAATATTGGTTATTTGTATATTTTACCAGTAACAATAGTCGAAACACACCAAAATCATCTAGAATAAAGAACCCAGGACATGGTTTTCCCCTGCTAAATTAGGTAAAGCTACTTAGTAAAGAATACTTTTAATCCTTCCTCACGTTTTCTGGTGCCTCAAGTTAAGGGAGCGTTTTTTTTACACAAGGGACATGTATCTCTCGCTCTGTAAATAAAACAACTTAAATTCATAAATGCAAATAAGAAAAATAAACAGAGCAATCTTTGAAAGAAATAATGATTAGCCTTGCAAAAAGACATCTTCTGTCCCTTCTTTGTTATAGAAGAAAGATATTGAGGGAAAGGCTTTAAGAGATCAGAGTAAGGAACAAGTTGTTTGGTTATTAAAGCAGTGTTTCTTCTATGCCACAAATGGAGTATGTTGGTTATCATTCTTAGGTGAACATGACCCTCCAAAGCTCTTAGCCATGAACAAAAATGCAATATTGTATTGCATTGCATGGCTTTGCCTCAGATGTGCTACTGCTCAATGCATCACATAGCAGGGGGAAAGCGATATGGGAAAATAATGGAACAAATCTATTCAACTTAATTCTGATATGAATAAGGCTATTCAGAGAAGTCACATTGCAAATACATTTGTCGCATAATTGAGCTTCTGAGAACTATAATGAGATGGCTTCCAAACTTTTGTTGGGAATATTGTAAATAAAAATGACTTGCCACATGGATAATCTGAACATGAATGTTAATTGTTCTTTCATCATCCTAATGAAACTCCTTCCATTTTCTCATTCTCTTTTGTTCCTTTTCCTGTACTCATCTGTCTAAACAGACCATTAGAGCGTGCAAGCATGCTTAAGCTCAGACATAGCCTCGGCTGTTTCAGTACATTGGTTCCGTGGGCTGAGAGAGCTCCCCTGCAGCCTGATCCTACCTCCTGGTACTCTGGCCTCTGTCCCTGCCTTCCAGGCACAGTGTCCTTTCTCTTTTTCTCTGCTGCCTTTCCCCGCTCATGCACGTTCAACACCGGGGTGGTTAGAGGTTATGCATGAAAGGCTTTAAATCAGAGGAAAACTTATAGGTAATAAGTAGTAAGAGTTTCTGGGCTAATCCTATGTCCGTGAAACTTTTACTGTTGACTTCACTGGGAGCAAGATCAGGGCCTAGTGGTACAGCTAACAGAGGCTTGAGGTTTCCCTCTGACAGCCCTAGCTTTTGTCTCCATTCTGGTCATTGTCTATCAAAATAATCTGTATCTGATCATTGATGACATAATTTGTTGTTGCAGTGTCCATGCACTGTTACTGCAGAAATAGCATTATTTGCATGACCCAGAACACACAACATTTATTCTTTTAGTCTAATAATAAGTCTGTTTATGGTAATACTAGAGCCTAGTTTTTAGCTTGGATAAATTATCATCAAAACTAAATTTTAGGTTTTAATAAGTTTATGTAATGGCAACCTAAAACTTCAAAACCTGACCAAAATACTGTTCTGATCTTTAATGCCTACTGCATCTGAGATACAAAACCTGTTTAAAATCCAGTGTTTATGGGTTGTGACCTTTCCCCAAGGTTTAATCCTAAACACGATTTTGGCCAATTATCAATATCAAAGTGAGAGGAAGGGTTACAGGAAGTCTTCAGAAATTCTCTGCAATAAGAATTTTTTCAAAATGTGTGACAATTCCCTAAAATCTGTGTAGATTTAAGAAGCCAATTCAGTCCCACTATGACCTCTCGTGTCTACCCAGATTTTAGTCTGTCTTTTTTTTTAAAAAAAAATCATCTAGTGAGAAGTATCATTTTGTCTGCACATTTTGTACAAGGGGGTCCAGGGGTTGCTAGATGCTAGTGTGATACAAATAATAGTACTAATAAAGTACTTAGAGTTTCAACTGCTTATCTTACATCAGTTGAGGCTTTCCTCAAATATACGTCGAAAACTTTGATGCAACAAACCCAGATGGCCCAGAACTATGCCCGAACTTATTGCATCTCTAAAACACTCTTACATTCCGTAATTACTGGGGCCTCTTGCTATTCCCTGGAAATCAGTGGAGGTTTAAACGGCACATTTTTGTCTTGTTTTCTGTAGGTTTCCTCTACTATTCAGTGTGGCTCATGGAGAGTAAACGGGTTATTAGCCCTCCTCTCCTCCCTAGCAGAGCAGGGATTGCTACCGTGCACTTTTGGTAAAAAGCTAGTGATGGTGGGAAGTCTCATTTTATTTGGAAGAGCTCATGGGAATTCAACACACACACAGTCAAGATGTCCCCCTTTTATAGCCACTTTCCTGCATAACTCAAATGACCCCTAAGTGTGTTGTTTCCTTTTTAGTGTATCTGTAATTTACGTGTTTTTTGCATGTTCAGTATTGCAAGTTAATTGAATAAAATGATTGTGATTTCAGTCTGAAAGTGCTTTTTAGATCTAGAATTGAGAGATTATGCTAAAGAAAAATATTCTTCTTTTGAATGGTACTGCCTGATAAACTAATTTTAAAAATACTAGTTTATAGTTTTAACTATTCTATCCTGCAGATTATTAGCTTAAATGGAATATTTGGAAAGTATAGGTTTTAAAAGTAGACTTTTGACAGAAGGCTAAACTTCTTACAGGCTTCAGGTAACTTTAAAATTATTGACCAGAAGCTTCTCTTTTGAACAGAGATCAATTTTAATTCTAATTTTTAAATATTTTTCAGGGTCTAATGTAGAATCTGTAAGGATTCTTAAAATCTACTTTTGGATTATTAGTTATCACTTTGTAATAGTTCTGTTTAACAGAATAATTGAAAGTTTTTAGCCTAAACTATGCAGTCGAGAAGTAAACATTAACTATGATGAAATCTATGTATTTTACCAGTTGCTGTCTCTTGGTGGTTTTGTGTAGTACATGTTCACCGGGTCTACATTCACCAGACATTCTTCATTTTTTTTCAGTTCGCCTTAGATGAAGTTTTACAGTCTTGTAGTTACACTTCACCAAAAAAGTGAGGGGTGCATCCTCAATAAGATTTAGGAGTTACATAACAGCTTCTCTTTAAATTGGTAATCTTTGATTTATGCAATGAAGAATGGGGAAAATTTAACATCAAACAATATTGCATTGACAGCCTAATGTTCACAATGGACTGTCAAGTATGGAAATAAATGTTCTCTAAAGTGAATTGTTTCCTGGGCCTGTGTCTTCACAGCAAGCTAAAGAATGCTACAAGTGTTAACCTTTGACCCTGAGAAGCCCTGACGAGTGACATGAGTTGAGATTGGCTATACAGTGCACTAGAGAGACAAGGTGGGGGAAGTAATGTCTTTTTATAGGACCAACTTCTGTTGGTAAAAGAGACGCTTTCGAGCTTTTCTTCAGGTCTGAGAAAGGTACTCAAGGTCACACCTTAAATGCAAGGTGTAACAATTGTTTAGCATAAGTAGTTCACACATATTATAGAAGACCATTCAGTACCCCCAACAACACACCTTTCAAGGTTCATAGGTCCTACACGTGCTGATCACAACATGTGGTGTACCTCATCCAATGCCCCAATAACAAATCTGTGGGTGAACCAGACAATCATGACCCTCTCAAATGAACTCTCACAGAAAATCAGACACACACACCCCACAGCACCCACGGGCGAACACTTTTTTCACAAAACAATCTCTCCATATCTGACCTCTCAGTCCTCATCTTCAAAGGAAACCTGCGCATCCTCTTCAAAAGAGGAGCCTGGGAACTTAAATTCATAACTTTGCTAGACACTGAAAATCATGGTCTTAATAAAGACACTGGATTTATGGCTTATTACAACAATCAGTAACCCACTACCCGCCTTTTTTGTCCTACGACTGCAGAGGTGTTAACAGGCCACTCCACCTGGAATGGTCTCTCACAACATATTATATGCAGCGTTGTAGCCGTGTCAGTCCCAGGATATTAGAGAGACCAGGTGGATGAAGTTGGTCCAATAAAAAATATTGGCTCACCCACCTTGTCTTTCTAACATCCTAGGACCCACATGGCTACAGCAACACTGCAATATACTGTGCACTCTCACTTTGAGCTTTTGATCAATCTTTATTGTGTGTGTTTCGAAGCTCAGTTGGGAGATTACTGCTGAAAATGTCCGTGGCGGTCATACACCTTAGATATTGCTACTGAGTGTTTGTTTGAAAATAGCTTTATGCAGATGTGATGTAAAGATAAATAGCAAACCTTTTCTTGGAGAAACTCCGAACTTCATATATGTAACCACAGATCATTTGTAAGAGAGCAGTCTGCACTGGCTACCAGATATGGACAAGGTGACCTAATAGGTCTCATTTCTAATTTTGATCATCCCAGATTGTTGACAAAATAATATTTGTGTAAAACTTAAACATTTAAATTTTTTTTTGTTTGTTTTTTTTAAAGATTTTTCAGCTCCACTTCCAAGGTTAGTATATATCTAAGTCTGCATAGATCTTTGACTTGGCAGCTTACTTACTTAAATCTTTTACTAAGGTTTCATTTCATAGTACCTTGGGGCTTGTACAGAAAATTCCATTCTTAAAATGATAGCGGATTAAATCTGATGACCATCTACACGCACAAGGATGTGTTTTGTGTTTGTTTTTTGTCAGCCCTGCACACTCAGCCTGGGATCTGAGAGTCCCTCTGGGATCTTAGTTACTCTTGTGCAATCCTGATGTCTCCAGTTAAAATACCCTTTAAACTGCAGAATCTGGAATTTTTTATTTTGTGCCTGCAATTGTCTTCTGGCCATTTACACACACACACACATACATGTGTATATAAATTTTTAAAAATCTCTGACATGTTACATTTTGAACAGGCAGATAAACCCCTTTGGAACATGTTGTGCCACTTCTGTGGGAATGCCGAGCCAAACTCTAAAATTTGAATGTACAAATCATGACTTTAGGAAATGTCAGTCATATACACTAATGTGCCCTTTTCACATTTGTAAGCATGTATTTCCATACTTGAGTACAGATCAGGATATTAGTATCTGACCGTGCTGGATACAGGATAGTGTGGGCAACCCATTACTCCTTCCCCCACAAACTGTGTTAATCCAAGAATAGTTTAAAATTTTGATTTAGCTAATGCAAAGAGTCTTACATCAGCTGTGAAGTTCTTGCTTTTCCTGAAGTTGTTTGTAGTACAGTGTGGTTGAAACACAGATTTGTACATAATTTACTAACGAATGTTTCAATGGGAAGCTTCATCAGACTTGTGTGTTGCAGACTCTGCTACAATTTGTGTTTGGAGGCTGTGCTAAGTCAATGTTGGAAGATAATGTGCTGTTCTGTTAACTGGTTTGCTTTTGGAGAAATAGTCACTAACTAATTGAACTTCAATAAAATTCAATGTTTTTGCTGCTTTTGAATAATCTTTTGAATCTTCTTGCAGTTATATACCGTGCTCGGAAAGAATACATGTGGCAGTAACAGAAATGGCAGCCTTGTTCCCAAAAGTGAGTCACTTTATTTCTTCAGCAATGGCAATGTTTCTCAAATGTATTCTGCTTTCAGTCTCACTCATCTTGAGGCTTTGTGACAGAAGAACCTTTAAGGGAAGTTGGTGCAATGAATGAAATATTTCTGATTGGACATGGAGGGTTTTTGTGTTGATTTGGTTAAGAAAATCAATAAGGAAATTTAAAATTCCTAAGGTTTTGCTCCTTTTTATTTTACAGTGGTTCCTCCCTGGGTTTAGATTTTTTGCAATGAACAAAAAGCAAAAGACAGATAGGAGGGAGGAACACTTTCATCAAGATGAGGATCTTTGTCAGACTTCGCACCTTTGTATTTGTCACCATGCCAAGTGGGTAGGGTTAGTTGGTACACCAGGACTCAGGTTGGTTGATATGTGTAAATGCCCACAGTTCCCAGAAGGATGCTTACATCTTGCTTGAATAGCGATGGAGCTGGACCAGAACTTTGCCTGACCTGTTATCTTGTGACTCGCAAGGATGTAGCCGTCTTTATAACACTTCTCAGACCTTTTTTTATAGGCAGCTTCCTGGGAGCAAATAATTATCTATGTGTGGGTCTCAATGAATTCCAAAAGGTCTGCTTCTGCCCAGTGTCTCGCCTTGCCACGAGGTGCCCTGCAAGCCCTTCCTTTCCTGGCCTTGGATCAGGGAAAAGCCACTGAGCCTGGGCCACTTGGCTACAGTCTTAGAGCATTTGCAAACAGATCTCTAAATCTCACTGATTCAAAGTCATCCTAAAACCGTTGTGTGTAACCCATGCTAGCCAGCTCGAGCTTTGTTTGCTTTTCCCTTCCTAGAAACCCAAATCTGAGCTGGTAAGGACATCGCTGCGGCTGCTGACATCGAGTGCCTACAGACTCCAGTCTGAATGCAAAAAAACCCTGCCCCTAGAGACCTGCCCTACCACGGACATCCAGCTGGTCACTCAGCAAGTTATTCAGTGTGCGTATGACATTGCCAAGGCTGCTAAACAACTGGTTACCATCACAACCAAAGAGAACAACAACTGAGTCCTGTCGTGTTTTTTAGTCTTGGTTTTTTAGAGATTGGAGTTTAAATTTAGACACACAACTTTTCAAATTTTTACAAGAAAACTAAGGGGGCAAGTTAAACTTTTTTTAAACTCAGTATTATTTTTGCATGTTTTCTAACAGAACTTTCAAAGATTAATTTAACCCACTGCCTTATTTTTGTGCCTGTGTTGCCAGTTTAATTACAGAATATAGTATGTTGCAAACAGCTGTTGATCCAATATCACATACCAACATTGTATCAGAGGTTCTTCTAGGCGATTCCTTGGAGCTGTATTCTGCTTTCGGATATTGCACACGCGCACAAAACTCTCATTGAAGTCAAATGCGCATATCAAAGGGCAGAATCTAGCCTTTGGTCTGTACATCCTTGAACTGCTCTGCATGGTGAATCCCCTTCAATAACAAACTCACTCTCAGCAGGACAGTGGACTGTGAAGGCTCCAGGAGTGTAACTGTTGAACAGTCAGTAGAATGAAGTTTTATATAGTCTTCCTGAGAATTGAATACAAAGTTTATATTTTCTGTTCCATATCAACTGTTGTGCAATAACAAGTCCTTAGTCTGCTGAAACTGTAGTAGTTGTGGGCATCCAAACCTATTAAATGTTTCTTTGTCACTTTTATCTATTTTGGAAGGAAGCATGAGATTTAGTTTCTTTTAGTTGTCACTATGCCACTAGTCTATACATTGGATGTTACTTTAGAAAGGCATTAGTGGTTAAAACCCATCATTTTCCTTTCTCTAAAAAACCCCTTCTGAAGTTTCCCACAGCATTTATTCCCATTTTAGTGTCCTCTTTTTAAGGCTTTAAGTCTTGTTTGCAGCAGTATTGTTGTTTAATATCTTTTTAGATGCAGTTTCACTAAAGAGTTCTGTGATTTCTTTAGAATGGAAGATAAGAGGGCCAGTTCAAAAGAAGCCATGCCTGACACGGTACATCATATCTATACCTCACTGTAGTGGAATGTGAAAAATACACTTTTTATATAGTACCTCTCATGCAAAGCTTCCAAAAACTACAAACTATATACAGACTGACACCTTCTTAAGGGTCACCTTCAATACACAACCCACCACGTGCTAACCAACCACTTTAATGTATTCCCTACCCAAGTTCCAGTACCTTTTTCTTTAAAGATCATGGGTAAGATTTTCAAAAGCACCGGAATTCTCATTTTCAAAGGTGACACGGGTACTTAAAGAGCCAGAGTCTTACTGAAAGTCAGTGAGACTTGGGTCCTAAGTGCCGGTCACCTTTGAAAATGTGGACTTAAACGCCTAAGTCAAGCTCTTTGAAAAACATTAACTCATGCCTACGAAGTGACTTGTTTTGATGATCCCTTCAAGCACTGTTCTACTTGAAAGTGAACCTATAAAAATGAGATTCAGAGATTCCAATCTGGCTACAAACAATTTGTTCAGTTCCTATATAAAAAGATGTTTTTCCTGTCTACCCACCAGTCCTACAACCTGCCCCGGAGAGCTGAATGTCAGCTGTTCAGATTCGTACGTAATCAGTAATGAAGATTCAGAGGTGCTCAATGACACCTGTACAGTAGTAATATCTGCAGTGAGTTAAACCACGGAGGGCAGAATTTGGTCTTGCAGTGGGAACTTCATTGACGGTCATGTTTTGTGATTCCCTGTAGCTGTGCAGATGCTGTTGAGCTAAAAGGAAGTAGCTGAATTATTTTTGTTGTCGAAGTGAGAAGACTCTGAATGCAAAGAGGGAGCAGATATGTTGTAGTTCTTATTTTTTCTAACTATAACAACACTTAACGTAGCTATTTCCCAGTGATGCTAAACCATCACATAATGACTGGATTATAAACCCTGGATGTTATACATATTTATATACATATAAAAACATGAGGAAGTTTGAACTCTGAAGGCATGGGTTTTCCACCAGGCTAACCACCTTCCCTTCTTATAAAATACTCATACAATTCATAGTTTCCTCTGGAGGCCCCAAAAACCATAGGACCACACGCATGCAGTTTGCCATGTTAGTCTACTCGTGTTACTGTTCAAGGGTGAGATTACAGGAAAACTGGTCGAGACTCCACATATAGTGTTTTGTCTGAATATATAAATGCAAAATTTATTTTTCACATAAATGTTTGATTCAGAAACACTCAATTGTAGGAGGCTGTCTACTGTTCCGTAAGCAGAATCTGCAGTGTTTAGTTTGCTAAATCATGATTCTTTAGGTTGGTTTTTTGGTGATAAAAATTTGCTCTGTTTTAGGTTAACAAACAAAAATTAAACCTTCAGAGGTTTCTTCCTTTTAAAATTGTGTGTTTGTATGTATATATAAACACAGAATAAGTGCCATAATATTTGTTGGATGCTGATGTTGTAATTAACTGCCTTTTTTAAAATATTGTACAATTTTGGGGTTAAAAGCAAGTAGGTAAGGGATAATCCTGTTGCAGTCTGATTCATAAATAATTTATCCTGTCCCCTCTCCCGTATCTAGCACTGTCTCTAAGCATCTGGAAATGCATTTAGACAAGGCTGTAATTTGAATTGTAGAGAAGTATTTTTGAAACCTATTACCAAAATTCAACCATTCGTAATGCATTGTATGAAATAGAATAACTCCACTTAAGAACTTCTTTGAACCAGCACAGTAGGAACATGAAGCATGCTATTTGCTAGGTATCCATCAGGACATCACTACACATGGTTTTTACATATCCTGTGTGGGAAGCAGAGCATTCTCATGTTTCCTAAAATTTTATTTGAGGATATCAACTTTTTTAAAAAGCTTGCTCAGTGCCAAAACTGGGAAAGTCCCTTCAGATGAATAACTGTACATCTTTCCTTTGTTGATGGCAGGTTTTGCAAGTACCCGATTCAATTAGACTCTGGCATGAAGAGCTGTACAAGTGTGGCTAAAATGTCACCCACTTCACATTATGTATCTAGAGTTTTTTTAAATGTCTAACATAAGTTTTATGGTCCTGTTGGTAAACTGCACCTTGTCTAAATAGTTCTGTTCTACTTACTTACTTAGTCATAGTAGCAAGTTATTGCACTAAGCAGTTATACATCTGGTGTGATATCTGCAGTATTCTTATTATGGTACTTTCTTTCAAGAAGCCCGTAGGACAGAGGTGCACTTTATGGAAATGGCACTTGGAGCGAAAGCTGACTCCACTCCAACCAAACCCTGGTTAACTCAATGTATTAATCTACTCCACCCATTGTTGGTGTTTGCCAAAGTCATAAATGGGGCCCAAAGCTTGTTTAGCATTACGCTTTGGACTGTGTGGATATGTCTACGCTGCACTGTACGCCAAGGGTTTGAGCTCAGACTCAAGCCTAACCCCATGCGTGTCTATACACAAATTGCGCTAGCCAAGGGTTCCAGAACCCCGGGGGGGGTGGAGGCAAGCCAGGATCCAGCATTCAAGCCCTACTGCTTTGCAGAGTAGGCTCCACCATACTGGACTTGGGCTCTGGAGTCTGCCAAAAGTATCCCATGGGCTGACTTTCATTTTCCTCTGGACAGTCAAGTTTCCCCACACTGCATCATGAACAAAGGGCTAGAGTCACCACCTTTTGGAGGGTGCTAGGACTCTGAACCGCATTATGCGGCATAGGTGCTAGAGCCCCCTGTTGGGACCCAGCATTCAACCATTCCTAACCTATGGTTACAGATAAGTGTAGATGCTCAGGGTATGTCTACACTGTGATGAAACCATCTCCAGCTGGCCTGTATCAGCTGACTCAGGCTCACAGGGCAGAGTCCCAGAGCCTGGGCTTCAGCTCAAGCCTGGATATCTACACTGCAATGTTTGTGGCCCTGCAGAGCTGACAATGGCCAGTGTGGGTGTTTTATTGCAGTGTAGACACATCCTCAAGCCCTAGGTTAATGAACCCAGAGTCTACTAACTTGAGTTCTGCCAACCCTGGTCTTACATTGCCGTGTAGACATGCTCTGAATGGCTGCAGGGCAGGAGCTATTAAAATACCTGGAGTAGTTTAGGTGCAAAAAGATGTGGGTTTTTTCCTGTGGCTGGAACCCCACTTTCAAATAACTTGTATGTTTTTCCCCTCTTGGTCTTACAGAAATGTAATCCTTTCTCTAAGAAAATGCTGCACAGGAAAGTGAAAATGCCTTTTTATGAACTTGTATTTCTGTCCATTTTGTACTCATGATTTAGCCTTTAATGTTTACTGTATTACATACAATTACTGTACAACCCTTAAGTGTTATAAAATTGTTTGGGATTATTTGCCTGCTACTTATGCAATAAACAGGCTTTTAAAGTGCTTTGCCTTTGGGATATACGGGTCAAATACAAAGTACATACAAGATGGTACTATAAACAGTGCAAAGTGAGTTCATATCTGTGTAACTAATACACTGAGAAGTGGTGCATATTTAAAAATTAGATGAATTAACCATAGTTTTGTTCTTTATCCTTGGTCCTCCTAGTTTTCCTGTTTATCTTCTGGCATAGGTATATCATCAGTAGGCCAAATCCAGAAGAGATACAAGCTATATGCCAGTGTCTGTCTCAACTGCTGTTACAGATGAGGATGTGGTAGCAAAGGGGCACAAGTTATACCAACTTACTTACCTCTGCCTGGTTCCCTAACTGTAGAGCATTAATATCCTCAAAAAGTGTTCAGCCATTTAAATTATAAAGGATTGAAAACTGTCAATAAATTCAGCTCCTTCTCTTCTTACTCCCTCATTCTACCTCCAGCAAATGGTCAAATTTTTTATCATGCTGTAGTAACCCATCCTTGCCCCTTCAGGAGTGTCACTGGCAGGCAATGAAGGAAATCCTGCATAATGTAAAACTAAAAGCCACCACTGACCATTGGAAGGGGGCTGACAGCAAATGAAGGATGGGGCACTGAAATTAATGGTGCTCAGTTGAACTACATCTAAGTTTTGTTCTGTATTTTATAAGGCTGGGTGTACTCTAGAAACTTTGTGGTACAGTGATGTTACTTAGGGGTGTTAATTTTTGGTGACATTTTATACTGGCAAAGTACATTTGGTAGTATGGCTTATTTCATATGGGGACCTGGTGTGAGCTATATAGGCCAAAGCACTTCTTTGGTGTTAACTGCACCTCCATTAGAAGGATTTGCCACTGGATCTATTCCATCAAACCTTTTCTCTTGTAGACCTGGCCTTAGACCAAGTCTGACTTCATTCACATAATTGTGTTTAGTGCTGATCTTGAATTGTATCTCGTATCAGTTAGAATAATTGGTCCATGAGATTAAGTTGCCTATGCACTCACCACCTGTGATGATTTACATATGGAAATTTCTTCAACTCATGATTTACTTTTGAACTTATTTCAGAGTAGCAGCCGTGTTAGTCTGTATTCGCAAAAAGCACAGGAGGACTTGTGGCACCTTGGAGACTAACCAATTTATTTGAGCACAAGCTTTCGTGCGCAGCAGCCTGCTGCATTGGACGCCTGCCGTGGAAATCTGAGAAGAGCTGCTGCTGCTAGCATTTGAACGAACAAGGCTCTAACTACCTGCAACACATGGGTCTCTACAAGCACAAGGTGGGAATCCCAAGCAGGTGTGTTTAGGCAACTCCCATTCCACCTGTATTGTCCATTATATCACATGTTTTAAGTGAGACAAGTGCACCAACTTACAATGTTCCTCGCAGTATTTAACAGTTGAGCTCAGACACATCACTGCCTTCTATTACAGTGAAATAATGTACTGGAAAAAATAAGTGGGACGATAACTTACAACTCTCTGTGGGGTGAAAGTACAGGATAAGCTTGATGAATTTTAGGCAGCAGTTGTTCCTATTTCATGTTTTCCTTTTAAAAATACACATGAGGGCAAGATTTAGATTTTTACAGTCAAGGATGCAAACCTCCAGGTGCACAGCAAAGCTCAGTGGACTAGCACTACCCAACTCTTTACTTGAGCTTTCTGGAACTCCATGTACTGTGTGCTTACCAATACTGAGGACCAAACAATCCAACCAGGGATTTCACACAGTTCCCTAACTTAGTAGTGGGGTAAAAACAGCTGCTTTAACATTCTATTTTGTTTATAGATATGTTTTTTATGTAGTGACAAAAGGCAGAGTACTTAACTGCCTCTCCTAGTGCTATTGAGTGGATTAGTAGGAAGAGGTAGTTTAAAGCACCACCCAGTACTCCACTCCTGTACAACCTTAAGCTCTGATTCTAACAGCAGAGACTAGCTGTAATGTCATTTAAGAGATCTGAACCCCATTTACAAAGGTATGGGGGGGGCGCACAGGAGAGGAGAATCATTTCTCCCTTTAGCACATTATTCTAGTCTGGGAAGAAGGGTGAGCTAGGTTTTTTAAAGAAAATCCCCCCTTTTAGAGACCTAGGAGTGTCTAATTTCAAACTAGTGGCATCCCTTGTTAAGGCCTGTACTGCACTGTTCACTAGACAGCTGGTCATAAGCACATCCAATGCAGTGATCCCTTTTTGAAAATGAGATGGTATGAAAACTTGAGAATAAATCTTAGACAAGTAAATATTTATTGAAATCTTTAAAATCCTAGAGCCTAAATGAAACTTGTATCAAAAATTGACATACACTGGTACTACAATTCTCACAAACCCTGTTTTACAATGCATGGGGATAAGAAAGTACAGGAGGGATTTCTGAGCAAACATTACTTTGGGTTAATAGAAGATGCATGGCTCTTAAAGAAACCCTTTCAGCTATAAACAGCAACAGGCAGTGGTTTAGTATCATTGATTAAACTGGGTTGCGTTTGTCAAGAACACATGCAGCTATTTACTCTTCCATCACTTTTTCCTGTTTGAAGTGTAGTTGGACAGTTGACTTTGCCTTACATGCTACATCGTGTCACTTGACAGCTTCTAAACACTGGAAGCAGCTGGAATGGTGTACAGCCCTCTCCACACTTAAGATAGTATTTTCAAATCAAGCTCTATTAGCCTACCTCTGCTGCTACTGCATTCAATGGAAATTTGACCTTTACTTCAATGGGAGAATTTGGCTGAATGCTTTTGAAAACTTCACCCTTCATTTGCACTGGGCCCATCTCCATCAGCTTCATGGACTATTCCTGACAATTTCATGAGGACAGCGTGTTGATTCTTGGTTTTGAAATATTCCACAAAAGCCTGATCTTAACAGACAAACAGCCTGCAACACTGAGTCCTTCATACTGATACTCACACCTCAGAACTTAAGGGCAACCCTTCTCAGGTCCAAGCTGTTTTTGGACGACCATAGGGCTGGAAGAAAGTCAATAGCAAGAAATACCATAAGAATTTTACATTCAGAATTAAACTCCCAGGCATGTCATACTCAAGGTGCTGGCCCCTTAGTGGATAAGCTGTAGCTGGTGGTTCTCATTTTGCAGACAGTACCATGTTCTATTAATGGACAAGACAACACCTTTCATGAAAAGCCACCAGTTACTTGGATAGTCACTTCTCCAAAGAGAACTGGAGTGCCAAGCAATGAGAGGGTGTCAAAGGTTCCCATTACTGCTATGGTAAAGGGATAAGAATGAAAACACTCTGTCCTATCATCTAGAATTAGAAGCCAGCTGGCATAGGACAGGTGTTTTTTTTCCTGGGCATGTAAGAAACTTTCCAAAACCAGTTAGTATTCTGGCAGCAGGAATGCTGCATTTGACAAACAGGATCCTGCTGCTTTTGTAGTTTTTTTTGGATTCTTGGGCAGAGACAGGGATGTTGGGAGCAGCACAGTGAAGCACCTGGTGATAGCCACACACTATTGCATGGATTGAGAACTTAGGATATACTTTGAGGCAGTTATGAAAGATCTTGCTTTAAAGACTTATAAAATGATTATCTGCAAAAGACAGGAAACTGGCAACGCCTGAGACATAATACCATAGCAATCTGAACCTTCCCGAGACAGTGACCCCTTTTCATTTGGGAGACCCATTAGAAATGGCAGTGGGGGAGAGGTAGTGAACTTACTCTGCCAGCAGTCACTGCCCCTGAGCAAGGACACGAGAGCATTTTTAGGTGTGAAACCTTTGCCCACCTCAGGAGCAGCTCTGACTTTTCCTGATGAAGAGGAACTGTGCTCAGAGGCAATTGCTGGTTATTCTCTGCAGCATGCTGACCTCCATTGTCAAACACCATGAACTAGCTGGGAATGGAACGTTAGGGTGGGCAACGTGCATGATTCCATCTGGTCCTGCCAAGGATCCTGCTCCTTACCTTACTGTGATAGCCCCGCTCAGTCATGCGCTTGGCCTCTTGCCACACTAACTCCTCACAGCGCTGCTCTGCCAGTCTTGCTTCCTCCTCCTCCTCTTTCTGGCGCTGTGACTCTTCCTGCTCTTGGAGGTGACGCTCTGTAAGCTGCGTATTTTTAAAGATATGCCCTTGAAGTGAGAGCACAGGTAAACAGACCCAACTAAACAAAGGGTGGGAAAGGTCAGGACTCAAAAGGCTTGAATCGGTGTCAGATCCATCTTAGTTAATTGGATACTTTAGTATCAGGGTTGGAGTTACCTGACTAAGCAGCAGTTACATCTGCTTGCAATGTGTACTCTACCTTTGCTAGCAAAATTGGGAAAGTTTCAGTAGAAAGTTACCGAGAACCTTGTTCTGACACTAAGGAATCTAAGAGCATTTTTCCATGCACTAAAAACTAGCTAAGCAAAGTACATTAGCTAACAGCATCCTGAATGACCTGGGGTGCAGGTTTGATGAAGACCGGGGCTCTACCTGGGACTCCAGCTCTTGTTTGCGAGCTGTTTTTAGTTCCTCCTCTTCCTCTCTCTCTCGGCGAGTCAGCTCTTTTGCCTCCTCAAGCTCTCTAATCAGTTGTTCCCGGTATTTTACACATTCCTCCTGGGCATGTCGATTTAGCTCCACCTTCTCTTGGATCTGACACAGTCTGCCTGCAAGGACCTGTTTGGAATAAGAAGGCGGATGAAGGGAAGAAATAGGGTAAATAGAAAGAAAGGGGCCAGACTCAGAAACCAAACTAAGCAGATCTTTATCTAGACAGTTAAGCCAGTTCTCAGAAAATAACTTGGGCCAACAAAGAAAAGCCCATCCCCTGGAACAGAGGTAACCAGAGGCCTTACTGAGCCTCTACTATGTATTCTATGTAAATTTTACACCAGTATAAAAGTCCCTGTTTTAACCAGGAGAGCACAGTAATCGCTGTAGAGAGGGCACCACCTCATTCATCAGTCTGTCTCTGGCCTTCCTCTCTCTCTCCCATTCTTCTTCTCTTTTTTCCCACACTTGTTTAGCTTCTTCCCTGAAGGAAAGAGAGAGAGGAGAGTTCCTTTCCAGCATTATTGCTTGCAATAAAGAGAGACAATAACAGAGAAGCCTTCAATACCTTATTTCCTGCAGCCTCTCCAGTTTACATGTGTATGTAAAAAGAAAAGGAGGACTTGTGGCACCTTAGAGACTAACCAATTTATTTGAGCATAAGCTTTCGTGAGCTACAGCTCACTTCATCAGATGCATAATTAAAGTGGAAAATACAGTGAGGAGATTTATATACACACAGACCATGAAAAAATGGCTGTTTATCATATTGTAAGGAGAGTGATCACTTAAGATGAGCTATTACCAGCAGGAAAGTGGGGTGGGGGGGAGAGCCACTGACTTCCTGAGGAAACTACAATCCATCTGTGATCTTCCTGAAAACACCATCCTGGCCACTATGGATATAGAAGCCCTCTACACCAACATTCCACACAAAGATGGACTACAAGCAGTCAAGAACACTATCCCCGATAATGTCACGGCAAACCTGGTGGGTGAACTTTGACTTTGTCCTCACCCATAACTGTTTCACATTTGGGGACAATGTATACCTTCAAATCAGCGGCACTGCTATGGGTACCCGCATGGCCCCACAGTATGCCAACATTTTTATGGCTGATTTAGAACAATGCTTCCTCAGCTCTCGTCCCCTAATGCCCCTACTCTACTTGTGCTATATTGATGACATCATCATCTGGAGCCATGGAAAAGAAGCCCTTGAGGAATTCCACCATGATTTCAACAATTTCCATCCCACCATCAACCTCAGCCTGGACCAGTCCACACAAGAGATCCACTTCCTAGACACTACAGTGCTAATAAGCGATGGTCACATAAACACCACCCTATACCGGAAACCTACTGACCGCTATTCCTACCTATATACCTCCAGCTTTCATCCAGACCACACCACACAATCCATTTTCTACAGCCAAGCTCTACGATACAACCGCATTTGCTCCAACCCCTCAGACAGAGACAAACGCCTACAAGATCTCTATCAAGCATTTTTACAACTACAATACCCACCTTCTGAAGTGAAGAAACAGACTGACAGAGCCAGAAGAGTACCCAGAAGTCACCTACTACAGGACAGGCCCAACAAAGAAAATAACAGAACGCCACTAGCCATCACCTTCAGCCCCCAACTAAAACCCCTCCAACGCATTATCAAGGATCTACAACTTATCCTGAAGGACGACCCATCACTCTCACAAATCTTGGGAGACAGGCCAGTCCTTGCCTACAGACAGCCCCCCAACCTGAGGCAAATACTCACCAGCAACCACACACCACAACCACTAACCCAGGAACCTATCCTTGGAACAAAGCCCGTTGCCAACTGTGCCCACATATCTATTCAGGGGACACCATCATAGGGCCTAATCACATCAGCCACACTATCAGAGACTCGTTCACCTGCACATCCACCAATGTGATATGCCATCATGTGCCAGCAATGCCCTTCTGCCATGTACATTGGTCAAACTGGACAGTCTCTACGTAAAAGAATAAATGGACACAAATCAGATGTCAAGAACTATAACATTCATAAACCAGTCGGAGAACACTTCAATCTCTCTGGTCACTCGATTTCTGATCTAAAAGTGACTATTCTTCAACAAAAAAACTTAGAAAACAGACTCAGACTACTGAATTGGAATTAATTTGCAAACTGGATATAATTAACTTAGGCTTGAGTAGAAACTGGGAGTGGTTGAGTCATTATACAAACTAAAACTATTTCCCCTTGTTTATTCCTCCCCCCTCGCCTCCCCACTCTTCCTCAGACTTTATTGTTAACTCCTGGAAATGTGCTGGAAGTGGCCCACCTTGATTATCACTTCAAAAGGTTTTCTCTCCCCCCACCCCACTCTCCTGCTAGTAATAGCTCATCTGAAGTGATCACTCTCCTTACAATATGTATGATAAACACCCATTTTTTCCATGGTCTGTGTGTATATAAATCTCCTCACTGTATTTTCCACTTTATGCATCCGATGAAGTGAGCTGTAGCTTACGAAAGCTCATGCTCAAATAAATTGGTTAGTCTCTAAGGTGCCACAAGTACTCCTTTTCTTTTTGCAAATACAGACTAACACAGCTGCTACTCTGAAACATGCGTATGTAGAGAACTGCAAGAAAGAAATTTGTCTGTTCTAAACCTTATGCTCAGAGGTGCTCCTGCTTCCAACAGAGATGGGAAACCAGGGAACTGCCAGAAAATTTAGTTTGCAAAGCTCTTTCGCAACAGCATGTATAGCAAGGAAAGTCCCTATGAAGTATCATACTGACTCCTCTAGCTTTCACTGAGCCAAATTTTGCTCCCACTCACACCCCATGTAAACTTTTTGAAGTCAGTGGGGTTACAGTGGATTCTCTTTCAACCTCCATCTCTCTTGAGAAACAAAAGGAAACACACAACTTTAGAAATCATATAGATGCCACAAAGCCCACTGGCTAGATGATCAAATGCTGGTTTTAAGTTCTTGTCAGAAAAGTCTGACTAGAGTCCTAATGTGGATGGGCAAGGATCAGACTTGTTCACTGTTGCCAATCCATTATTTCTAAAAATACTTGCTCCCTGTTTATTAACTTTAGTACTAGTTGCAACAAGAGAGACTGATTATGGAATCACTCCCATCAAGGAGAAGGAACCAGAAGGTCTTGATGCTTTTCAGCCAAAAGAACTGTGTCCTTTCACCTTAATATCGTTGTGTTACGTCCAACATTGTGATTGGATGGCTAAACCATTCAACATAGAAGATGGAAAGTAGAAAAGGACCTAAAATCCACCCCTACTTCTGTTACACAGGACTCTGTGTAATCAGCCTTTCCTTCTAAAACTGCAAGACTAACTAGGAAGCCAGGAAGAAGATGGCTTCAAGTTGTCCCTTCCTCACCTGTGTGTATCAACAAAGTAACATTTACAGAGTTCTACCAACCTAGAAGAAAGGATGTTTTTAAAGGGAAGCATTCATCACATTTAAACTCTCTCCAGCAACCTACAGGAGGCTTGTCAGATTCACCTGAAAATGGTCTCCAGTTCTGCCTCTCGTGCCTTTTCTAACTGGAGCTGCTCCTCAATTACATGTTTCATCCAGGCAGCATCTGCAGCAGCCCGCTCCCGTCTAGCGGAGTGGAGGCGTTGGTCCTCATCTTCCTTCTCTAGAAGGGCTAATAGAATTTGTCTGTCCATCTCCTAGAGAAAAGCCAGAAAAGTCACACACACACAGAGCAGGTTTTCAAACCAGGCTGCAAGTAAGTTCTCAATGTGCACAAACATGCTAATGTCAAGACTAATCATGGACTGGAAGCACATAACAGACCCTCAGCACCATTCCTAATTTCCTCTTGCCCTAATGCCACCAGGGGGAGATGGAAGAAGCTTGGTAAGGCTCTGGACAGATGAGATATGCAAAGTAATCAACATGCAGAAGCAGCAGTTTCTAGTGCAAGAAGAGTATACTACATAGAACAGTTAAGTGATCTCTGGTCTTGTCTTACCAGCTCCTGTTGTATCTGCTGTGCACGTCTCTTTAGTTGGGCATTATACTGATGTCTCAAAAAGCGACTAGGAAAAAAAAAGAGGATACAAAACCAGACTAGCTCCAAAGTCCCATGTTCTTATTTAGCAACATTCAGAAAAGCGAACCATGACTAGTACCATCTATAAGCATTGGTAGGGGGAACAGTTCTTACTGCGTTAGGAAAAAAAATTGTACTATGTCTATTTAAAGTGCTAGCCCATCCACTGCTCTGGATTTTCCAGATATACAATATTAAGTAAATATACAGCCCACAGTAACACTGACAATATCCCCACATACAGTAGGTACTACCATGGACACAGGAATGGCTTTCTCCCAACACCCACAGCACTGAACTATACCATATCATACCCAAGCTCCAGCTTCTTCCTGCATGCTTCCATTTGCTTCCTCTCTTCTTCCAGCTCCTCCAGCTCCCATTGCTGTTTTAGTAAATTCTCTTGCTCTTTCTTCAGTTTTGTTGCCTGTTATAAAAGGAATAGCGTTTCAGGGAGCTACAGCCTCCAGCTTCCCCATCCATTCTCAGATTCTTTATAGTTGTTGCAGGAGGGCAAAAGCAGCACAGAGAACCAGTTACACAGCACAATCTTTCATTTTCTCATCAGTACTAGAGTAACATCTGCAATTCTCTATATCCAGCACTACCATTAGAACAGGGTACATTCTTCAGGATGTACTTTCCAATATAACAACCATGCCCATTGAGTCAGAAGCTGCTTCAATGACTGGTTGGTTCTCGCTGACAGAGAAGCAGTAGCCATAAAGCCTGATCCTGAGGGTTCCAGTGGGAAATAAGGAGAAGGGAAGAAGATAAAATCCTCCCTGATCTGGAAGTGTTCTTAGGTATTGGCAGCTGGCAGTATGAAACACTCTGAGACAAATTCCTTCTAGCAGGAGGCTGGCACCCCACCTCAGAATTGAACCTCTGTACCTGTGGTTGTGGCATGTTTTACTGCCAGCAGTGGGATGAGTTCTAAAAAGAACTAGACTCCTTTTCAAGCAGTTTCTTTTTGGGTATGGTAAAGATCCCACACTAATTTCACTCTTGCCTTAGTGTGTTAGAATATTGGAGACATAACTAGGAACTCCTGTTGGAAAAAAGCCTTCAGGCTGCAAGCTACCAGGCTTGGTGAGGTTCCTAAAACAACCCTCCTTTCTCTGAGGCAACAAATGAAATTGGAGTGCTCAAATACTTAGGGAGGAACACATGAAGGCCCAGGGCTAAATCTCACTGAAAAGTACCAACACGCAGGTAGAAAGTAAGGAGTCATTGCTAGCAGAAGCCACGTCACATCCAGTTAGAACGACTGGCCCTGCTGCTTCACCTCAGTGTTGAGAAACAGATTCAGCCAGAATCATAACACTGGCCTGACCTCTCCCTTCTAAAATTCCATTAGAGTGGGTTCAGAACCAACTCACTGCTCTGGTATCTCCCACCTGGACTGGAGGCTAGCAAGTACACTCTGCTTCAGATGAGGGGAAACTAAATAGTTACCTCCATCTCCCGGAACTTCAGTTCTTCCATTTGTTGCAGTAACACCTCAGCTCGTTTCTTCTCTTCCAGCTGCCTCCTTTCTTTCTCTTGTTTCAGTCTTTCCAGTGCTTCCCTTCGGGCAATTTCATATTCATTTTCATACCGTCTCTTTTCTTCTCTTTCAGTTGCTTCTTGCTGATTGAGCCCAAACAAAACATTTTAACGTAATAACTGTAAATCAATACCAAATCACATGTATTTCAACTAATAGGGTGTTCTATATATACAAATATTCTAACATTTTAAAAGCCTGGGTTATCAGTCACTTCAGTAAAAAAGCCTGATTTTCAAACATGCAGAGCACCCAGTGATCCCCTGGATTCCAACTGGAAATGAAGGTACTCAACATTTTAAATTAGTTCAAAGCCTTATGCACCTCTAACGGGATCAAAGAGATGATGCTAAAATGGAGCCCTCTTTATTTGAAATAATGTTTATATCTGTGTGATGCTGACAGACCAGCATCTGGTCACGGGGGTCATGGTCAAGCTAAGGCCCCTAGGCTTCACTGAATACTGACAAATACATAGCTGGAAACCAGTCTGGCTCACCTGCATGTTACTATTGTTAATATAGACATTACAGTTATAAGACTGTGTTTAGACTTTATGAAATGCTTGTAGGACGCTGCATGTACACCAGACACTCGCTGGAACGCGGGGTTCAGGATCCATGTGGGGACCGTATTACCATGGATCCCAATTTAAATATTTAAATTTGGGATCCATCGCCGCGACCACGCTATATGCGAATCTGCACTATAGCGATGTGCGCTCTAGTGAGGGTCCGCTGTATTCAGCTTATGTCGATACCCCATGTTAGAAGGTCATCTTTAAGTGTGTGCTCTGTAACTACAAAAGTGTTTGCTCTACAACTGTAAACCCCCGCAATCTGAAGAGAAGCATTAACAAGTGTGAAATACCAATATACTGAAAAAGGTGTCCTCTGCCCAACAAAAGACCCATTGATGCCAGAGAAACCACTGGACATCAGTGGACAAAATACTTTGTTGATTGCTCCCCCCACACCCATCAAGAGGAGACATGCAACAGTTGTTGAACTTTGGGGGATGGGAATAAAAATCCGCATCAAGAATAATTTGTTATCCCTATGCTGGTTGGACTTCAGGGAGAAGGCAAAACTTCGGAGCATAAGCAAGAGATCCCCCACTGTTTAGCTGGGTACGCCCTAAAGGACATACGGAACCTGCACATTACAGCAGGGTTTATTACTTTTTGGAACCTAAGATTATAACTCATTTGTGTGTGTATGTTTACCTACTTTAACCTAATAACTCTTATTTCCTTTTCTTAGTTAGTAAACCTTTAGTTTATAATAGGATTGGCTACAAGCATTGTCTAAGGTACAAATGACCTGGGGTGACTGGGAGTAACCTGAATATTATTGTGATTTTTTTGGTGTAAGGGTCTATTTATCACAGTGGCAAGATAAACCGGAGTGCCTAAAGGGACCACCTGTGACTCTATGTTAAGGCTGTTATAGCCCCTGAGGAGTTCACACTTGATACTTGGTTGGTGAAATCTAATTATAGAACATACAAACAATGGCACAAATTCCAAATTGGCTGTAACAGTCTGCCCTGAAGTTGGCACCCATGTCTGTGAGCCACTCCAGGAAGCTTGACAATCTGTACTTTCACTGTCAACATAGCTATCTCCTGTAGGCTGCCTTCAAACTAACCAAAGAGTTAAATAAGACCTTGCATATTTTGATATCTGAAACTGCTAAGTTTGCCAAAGTTTAGTTTGTGGTGCAGGAACAAGTTCTTGAAGAGGTGCTCACATGGGTCCTGCATTTAGGTCTCTTAGGTTGGAACAGTGCCCTTGGTGCCACAGCAAGTCATGCAATTTATTTAGTCTACGAAGCAATGCCCCTGATTTTATATTATCAAGCAAACAAACCAGAAATAAAGCCAGAAAGGAGATTTATATACTTGCTTGAGAGAGAAGTTGAGGCAGAATTAAATTGCTAGATCCCATCTTCATGGGAAACAGTGAGGCACCACTATACATTCACTCACAACTGAGTAGAAGAAAGTATTTGGCAGTCCCTTCCACCTCTGACAACACTAACATCTATGTGCAGGAGGTGGAAGGCTAAGTCTCTACAGAAAGAAGGTTTCTGCGGAGGGGAGGGGAGGGGAGAAGTCAGATAAAATGAGCATTCCTCTCCCCCACCCCAAAAAAACCAAAATAGTATCTGCTCTTACATTTCAGCACTCTTTCCACAGCTAAGAGGTATCAGTGTGACTTAGAGTGGTGGTTCTCAAACTGTGGGTCGGGACCCCAAAGTGGGTTGCGACTCCGTTCTAATGGGGTCATTAGGGCTGCCATTAGATTTGCTGGGGCCCAGAGCCTGAGCCTACAGGCTACAGGCTACAGGCCCCCCTCCTAGGGGGCGGGGCTCAGGCTACAGGCCCCCCTCCTAGGGTCTCCCAGGAATTTTTGTTGTCAGAAGGGGGTCATGGTGCAATGAAGTTTTAGAAACCCTGACTTAGAGCAACCCTAGCATACCTGCTTCTTTTCTGTTAGCTGATCGCCCCAAACGTCCATCACATGCTTCTTGTGGAGCTCTGACTCAATCTGAAGAAGGGAACAGAGATAATCGCAAAATGGTCTCCCATTCTGTACCATGGAAACAGGCTCTAAGAATCTATGATGTGGATTGTTACAGGTCTGCAGACAGGGAGAAATAACTAACTAGTAAGCATTGCATTCCCAGACAACTGTCTGTTCTGGGGTAGCCCACAGTATAGCAGCAGAATCCCCTGAGCTTGGCTGTGTTAGGGAGATTCTCAGCCTTCAGAAGAGGAGACTAAATGACCACCTATCTCAGTTGAGATACTCATGAACCTCTTTGGCCAAGGAAGATTAGATGGGGCTCTGTGGAGCCTACTAATACACCGCTACCTAAGCCATAGAGGTCACTGCTAAGGATCAGATTGCAGTATGGAACACTGAGCAGCAGAATTCCTTCCAGCAAATTTGTCCACCACCCCAGAAGTGAGCCTTTATACCAGTGGTTGTGACATGTTTTACAGCCAGCAGTGGGATGCTCTTTCTGCCAAGATCTGAACATGCAATTGGTACAGCATTCCTCAGCCCCTGCTAGCCCTTGGACTCATGTAGCAATTCCAATCACAGGATTAGTTGGGAATAATCACAAATGTTAAAGACTATAGCAATAAGCAGGCAGAGTGGAGGGCCAGCAGAACAAAGGCTAAGAAAGCACTTAGTACAGAATACAGTTTTCAAAAGTATCTAAGTCCCTTTGGAAGTTCAGTCCCATTGACTTCTAAAGGGACTTAGATGCTTTTGAAAACTGTATCTGGTAAGCCTATAGTACAAGGCAAAAGCCGAGTATCTGAGAATATTGCTGTCTAGTTTCTTGCATTGGCACCAACCTCACCTCACAAGGAGGTGCTTCTACTTTAGTGTTTACATTTGAGGGTCTGCAGAGTCAGTAATGGAATAAAAAGGTTTCTGATTATTTGGAAGAACACATGCCTCTGGAGTGATGATACAGAACTCTTAAGTAGTTGAACCATTTTTCTTATCTTGACATCTGTTACTTAATTTTTAAAAATCTAAAACCTGATTTAGTACACACAAAACATTAGTGAAGGTATCCCAGTAATTATCACCTCTCGGAGTTTGGTATTGTTCTTCTTCCAGTGTTCATACAGCAGCTCTTCAGCAACCTATCAACAAAACACAAGAGTCAGACCACATCAGAGTAGATCAAAATGTTAATAAATATTACAATCTCCCAAAACGTCAGTTTAGTGCTGTATTTCCCAACCCTGATCATACTTGACAATCCCTCCAGACAGCTAGTGAACACATCTTTGGAATGTTATTAAATCAAAGGGATTGGCCATCCCATCAGCATGTCAGGAACATATACTATTGTAATTATATGGAGGGGAGGGGAATTACTCTTATTAAGGCTTAATCCTCCAATAAGATTGAGCCAACTGGAGACTCAATCCTCCAATTCTAAACCCCAGAATTTTTAGACAGACATATTACTGGATAGAATTATAGGGCATCTCTTCTCCAGGAAGCTCTCCAAATGCTTTGCAAACTGTCTATTTAAGGACTGACTCACCCACCAGTGACATGCAGCCAATTCATGATTCAGTTTGGCAGCCAACCATGGAAGTAGCAACACGAGGGAAAGTGAAGAATGACTTCCCCAGTTAAAACTGCTGCAGCAATATAAACAGGCTGAGTGTAATAGTCAGGATCTCAGGGATAGCACCCCAGCTCTTACAGAAAGCGCTGAGGGCCCTTCAATAGCAAGAAGTCAAGATTAGTTCTTCCTCTCATGTTGTTTGACACTCTGTTAACCAAGCCCAAAACAGGTATTTAGAAATCACGAGTTCCCTTTCCTGCAGGACGCAGACACAGGGGACATATATTTCTCTAATCAAGTTTTAAATCAAAGAGAGACTTACCCTTAGCCCCAGGTATGAGAGGGACAGAAGGGCACCCCAGCTCAGCCCACACACACCCCTCAGACCGCTTCTCACAAGCTACCTTTTTCCGGCGCTCTTCTTTGGCAGATTTCAAATCTTCACCTCTCTCTCTGATCTTGCTCAGCTCAGACTCCTTGTTCAGCCTCAGCTCCCCGAGTTCTGCTGCCAGCAATTCTCGCTCCTCGTACAAAAGTTTCCTAAGTTGTTCTCGTCTCTGCTCCAAGCTGATTTTTTTTTCCTCTTTCATTTTCTCACCGTGATATGCATTCATGCTACCAAAGACACATAACGGGAGGGAGGATTAAGCATCAGGCTGGCCCAGAGTAAGATCGCCTGCGAGACACAGGGCAGTCTCAAGACACAGACTGCATGCTCATAGAATATCAGGGTTGGAAGGGACCTCAGGAGGTCATCTAGTCCAACCCCCTGCTCAAAGCAGGACCAACACCAACTAAATCATCGCAGCCAGGGCTTTGTCAAGCCTGACCTTAAAAATATCTAAGGAAGGAGATTCCACCATCTCCCTAGGTAACGCATTCCAGTGCTTCACCGCCCTCCTAGTGAAAAAGTTTTTCCTAATATCCAACCTAAACCTCCCCCACTGCAACTTGAGACCATTACTCCTCATTCTGTCATCTGCTACCACTGAGAACAGTCTAGAGCCATCCTCTTTGGAACCCCCTTTCAGGTAGTTGAAAGCAGCGATCAAATCCCCCCTCATTCTTCTCTTCTGCAGGCTAAACAATCCCAGTTCCCTCAGCTTCTCCTCATAACTCATGTGTTCCAGACCCCTAATCATTTTTGTTGCCCTCCGCGGGACTCTCTCCAATTTATCCACATCCTTCTTGTGGTGTGGGGCCCAAAACTGGACACAGTACTCCAGAGGAGGCCTCACCAATGCCGAATAGAGGGGAACGATCACGTCCCTCGATCTGCTGGCAATGCCCCTACTTATACACCCCAAAATGCCATTGGCCGCCTCGGCAACAAGGGCACACTGCTGACTCCTATCTGCTGCCCCAGAGCCCCTCTCAGCTTACCAGACTGAGGGCAACGCGGGACCTCCCGTGACCGCGGCCTCCCACGCAAGCCGCACGCACCGGCCCTTCCGCCCCGGGCCCACGGCGGCCGGCGCCGCCCCACGGCCGGGCACAGCAGCCGGCGTGGCGCGGGGGAGCCCCGGCGGCCCCCGGGCTCTTACCTCCGCTGATAGGACCGGCGCGAGCTCCACTGGCTCTGTTTGGCGCTGCAGACCCCGGACTGCTGGAAATAGCGGCTGTTGCGCTCCCACTGCTGCCGCCAGCGGGCCTCCTGCTCCCGCTGCCGCACGAGCTGCTTCTCCAGGGCTCTGCTGCGGCTGGGCCAGGCGGGCCGCGCGGGCAAGGCCATCTGCACAGCCCGAGCACAGGCGAGAGTCAGCGCCCCGGCCCGGCCCGGCCCCGCAATCCCCGGGGAGGCCCCGCGCCAGGCAGGGGCCAGCCCCCGGGGAACCCGCCCCGCGCTCGTGCCCCCGGGCGGCCCCAAAGCGGCCGCTACCGAAGCGGGGGGGGGACTCACCGCGAGCGGCGGCCGCCGGGGAAACAGTAACGGCTTCAGCACGTCCGGCCTCCGCCGCGCAGCACCATGGCAACGCTTCCGGGCGGGGCTACGGGCGCCTTCGAGGGACACGCTGTCCCTCAGCGCGCGACCAGGCGAGACCGACCCTTCCCCCCCACCCCCCGCTCCAGCTCAGCCTCGACTTCGACTTCGGCCTCGCCCCGCCCCGCCCCGCTCCCTCCTGTGCGCGCGGGCGGTTTCCCCAGCCGACCTGTGCAAACTTCCTCCCCCCAGTGTGTGAACGCACACATTCCTGCTCACACGCGTTTGCACGCACACATTCCCACCCGCGCCCTTTGTGCTCACACGCGTTTGCACGCACACATTCCCACCCGCGCCCTTTGTGCTCACACGCGTTTGCACGCACACATTCCCACCCGCGCCCTTTGTGCTCACACGCGTTTGCACGCACACATTCCCACCCGCGCCCTTTGTGCTCACACGCGTTTGCACGCACGCATTCCCACCCACGCCCTTTGTGCTCACACATGCACATAGGTGCGCTGTTTGCACATGCATGCGGACCATTTGCACCTCCAGTCATGTTCACCTTGTGCATATATTTTCATTTTGAACAACAAACACATTTGGAAATCTGGCCCTTTATTGTTTATCAAGCCCTGCCAGAGATTCCCAGGAACGTGAAGGACTCGCTGACCTGTCACTATTACTTGTATTTGTAAAGTCCCTGCTTCCTGCTGGACTCTGTACTAGACACAGAAGAAGACATCATCCCTCCCAGGAGCTTATACTAAGTGGATGGATGGTGATCAGACACACTAAGCCCTACCATGAGCCACAGACAATGCCGTTTACTAGTGCTGCTGGCTTTTTACATATATTTCCCTGTGTTGGATTGGGTGGCAGCATTTTGTCCAGTGTGGGATAAGCACTTACATGGGCATTGCAGAAGGAGTGGCTTACTTTAAATGGCAAATAGAAGGAAGGGAGTGTGTTCCGGAGGTATCTGAGTAGCAGGAGAATGCAAAGATGAAGAGAGAAAAGGAGAGGTGAGGTAAAATTGATGCCATGGGCAGACACCTGCATTTTAAAGGGTCAATCTTGAATTTAAAATTATGCATTTAAATTTGCCTGTGCTGCTAATAACACCAGTATTGTTCACACCGGAAGAATGTTAATGAGCTAATGTATTTTTCACCATTTATGCCATTTGTTTGCTTTTATCATTCCAGGCAGGATGACCCAGAAGATGGACTTCCAGTCAGTTTTACTTGTGATGAGGATGGGATGGGAGTTACAATGTGAATGAAATGATGTGATAGTAGTACTGGGAGGGATGACTCTGCAAAGACACAGGTTATGCCTCTGAGCAGACCCAGAACAAACAAGATGTTTCCGGTAGCCTGAGCAGCAGACACAAACTGACCTGAGGGCTACTGCAGTAATTTAATACATTGTGGTGGGCCTTCTCTACTGCACTGTGAGTGCATTAGTAAATGTGACATTCTCTGATTGTCATGAAGTAGCCTCAGGTGATATAACTGAGGTTGCAAACGCTGCAGGGGAAGGTTTAGTGACAAACAGAACACCATTTCAATTGAATTTAAAAAAAAACATTGCTATTAGGCATTTTAAAGCCTTGGTTTTATAAATACCTAGTTTTTTGGCCCTGAATTGACTTGAGATGTCTCCTTCTAAGATCAAAAAATACACGTGAACATTTTAGGCACCTACGTTACAGCCATGCACTCAATGTGACAGTAAATCATGCTCTCTTGAGTCTGACCTTACTGAAACAATTTCTTTAGCAGAATATTGAAATGGCTGAATTGCCTTCCATGTCCTGTGTGCAGAATAGATGGGTTTCAGAGATGAGCCCGTATGCAAAACGAACATTGCTGTCTGTGTGTTAACCTCTGGAAAGCAGGCTGCATGATGAACAAAGCATTACAAAACACACAAGCTGACCATTAAGACCAGAGATCTGACCGACAGTCAAGGAGATACCTATGATATGTCTGGCAGTACCACTGGGATGAATCTAACTGAATGGGGTTTTGCTCTTAGCTTTGAGCTGGTGCTGGGTTTTGGAAATGCTCTGTTATTGTTATACGTAGAAATGTTACTTGCACTGGAGGGTTAGGAATTTAATTTCTTTTAGACCTGGTTTAAAAGTTACAGTGAATGAGCAACAAGTTGTTGACAACAGCATTTGCTACAGGTGCAGGCAGTGTTGTAGTGGGGGTCAACTCACAAAGATGAAAGGGAGCGCAACCTGGTGTTCTCAACAAGCTAGTCCCAAATCATCTGGCGTCTGTATGAACCTGAAGAAATCCCACTGATTCAAATCAACAATCTCTTGACACTCCCTCTAATAATCCTATCTCTTGTTGAATTTTGCATTTGGTGCAAGAACATACATAGGCTGATCATCGTTATTAGTCACTTAATAAGAGCTCACGTAAGGGTATCACTATTATGGAGGGGGGCAAATTAGATGCACTGCCCTATCTTTAGATAGCATGATGTGGTCACAGGTTTCTAAGCTTCTGCATCTCTACAAAGGCTGAAGAGACTGTTCTAGTCACATTTTCCAACCGTTGGCAGGTTTTCCTGACATTGCCAAGCAAGGTTATAAACCTAATGGAGATAAGGTTGCAAATTGGATGCATTTTTAAAAGTTGGTGTTCTCATCTCTGGTTGTAGGACACCAGAAATTTAAGTCACTCAAGTAATATTAATAATTTAGACTCACTCATTTGCCTACTGGCTTGGCCAGTAAACTACAGAACTCCCCTAAATTAGGTGCTTTTAATTTATATTATTACTACAAATCTTTCTTAAATAATCCTGCAGCAGGTTCTAGCTATAAAATACCACTTAGATATAGGAATAATCAGCAAGAAGGGAACCCTCATGACTTGAGTATGGCAAAACTGAACTACATGAACTTTTGACCTGACTGATACAAATTCTCAGAGAGGACAGAGAACTCATACCCAAGAAAGGACCATAGACTTGCAAACAGAAGTCAACAAACCCCAAGACACAGAACAAACTATTCCAAGTGAATCATATTCCAAATACCTTTTACTCCCAGTTTATCATCTGTTCACACTCCCTCTTGCTGACAGGTCCAAGTTCTTCAGCTAGAAGTTGTAAAGAAGACAGAGGTTGTGCAACTAACAAATACAAGTGCTTGTGGATTGTAGGCAAATAACTCACATTTAGCTAAATATCGCATACAAGTCATGAACTCGGAATACCTGTGACATCAGAATTGCTTCCATTGTCATTTCACAAAAACTGAGCTATGCCACCTATGAATTCATCAAGACAGAGGAGGTGACTGGGTCTATCGGAGAAAGATTCCACTCAAACACAATTCAACTAGTGGGCACGCAGTCACACATGCTAGAGTGAAAGTTGTTTAACAATGTAATCCCCTGTTTTTACATGCTCATTATTTACTGAAAAATGCCTGCTGACCTGGATATTTCTATGATTGTTTTCTGCTCAAAGTGCTTTTGTTGTTGTTAAATTTTGAACAAAATCCAGCATTTTAAAAAAGACAAACAGCAATAGGCAACATTCTAAAAAGGAGGTAAAAAAGTACAGACATATAAAGCCAGGTATATCCAGGGCTGGCATTTACAGCTTGCAAAATACATTCTCTTTATACAACTGAGCACAAAACATTTTTGAGGTTTGTTAATTGTGCACCTAATCACCCTGTGCTTTAATTGCATGTCAATAGACACCTGTCAGTCTGGAGGCTTAAAGCAGCTATTAATATAAATTATTTATACAGTGCTCAAAGTCTACATGACATGTTATAAAAAGAGAAAAGGGGTGAAATCTTAACCCTATTGACATAAATGGGAGTTTTGCTATTGACTTCAACAGAGCCAGGATTTCACCCAAGGTCCCTGCCCTCACAATCTTACAGATGAAGAGCCTGATCCTATGAGGTGCTGAGGTTACTACTGTGTGTGATGAGGGTGTCCAGCACCTGGCAGGATTGGGTCCTAAATAAGCTTAAGCTCTTTCATAAGTGCATTCTTGTACATGTGTGTTACCAGCAGTTTGAACAATTATGCAGCCACAAATAAAATGGTTGAACAGGTTCAGTGATCTGTAGGATTTGAGTTATTTTAGGCACTTGTTGCTACCTCAAGTACTTACTGTGCCTTAAAACCTTACACCATTGTAAAGCTTTCAAGCACTTTAAGTATTTATTGTGCTGTAAATATTTAAGGCAGTTTAAAGTTATCCTGTTCAGCATTTGAGTTGACATAAGCACTTATGTCAACTTAAGACATTTATTCTTTTTCTAAAACCCAGGAAATTAAATGCAAAATATTGCACCAATTTACTATTAGTGCTGCAAAGTTAAAATCACAAAGACTCAGAAAATACAAAAATTCAGGTCCCAACAGCAACATTAACCTGCTTGTGATGCAATGTTTTGCACTTGTTCTGCTGGTTAAATGTCCCGTTTGATATCTTACTATGCATACCATAAAATATATAATATAAATGTAAAACATAGAGGAGATGACAAGATAATGGGGTGTTGGAGCCTCTACTTCTGCACTTCTGACTTTAATTGTGCTACCTTAACATTGCATTAACACAATTTGCATATATTTAATTATGTACAGGACTTCTTATGAAATTGTGCTTTTGAGACAAATTAGTGAAGATGTATTATTCAGCAAGTTGCTTCTCAAGGATACTGCAGTGATAGATAATCTGATTCAGGCTTCTGTCACTAACAAGTCCTATCTCCACGCTGGGGCCTGCCACGCTTAATGGGATTAATGTTTGTTACTATAATTTACTACATTTCCATCTTGTCTTCTCTTCCCAGAGTTCCATTTCCCCGTGGATGTATTTTGTTTCAGAAGTGCCATGGACCCCAGTGTGAATTTAGGGAAAGCACTCTCTTTGCCCAGGAAGAAAGCACTGCACATGGACTTTGAGTGGAAAAAGCACTCTGTGTGCAGGATTTTGGTTTGAATCTTTTTCCTCCCTTTTGAGGAAGTGCTTAAAATTCACCGTCTGCATGTCAAGTTTTTTAAGCCCGATCTAACAGGAACAGTAAGTTATGTGCCAATTAAACCATCTGGTCTATATAAAAAATTTAGTTATATTAAATATTTAATGACAAACTAGATTAGAAAACCTCATTAAGGCCTGAGAAAGGAACCTCTGGAACAGGGCCAATGAAGTATAAATGAAGAGGCTGCACAACCAGTCAGTTTTACCAGCGTGTGCTGCTAGGAGTATAGTTTGATTTCTAGATGCTATCATTGAGAAAATCATATACAAACACATTTCTGAATTGCGTTCAGTGCAGATGCTCCAGCACACTTCTGTCTCACGTGGCTCTACCCGGTGCAGTGGAGCTGTAATTGGCAGATATTTTCACAAATGGGGAAAGCCAGCGCAATTTGAGGCTGCAGTGTGAACAGGCACCAAAGGGCACAAAGTTCTGTCTTAAGCTACACACCGTAGTTCCTGGCACAAAAAGGCCTCGAGATACATTTGTCCCTGCCAGGTTGACCTTTAGCCAAGCAAGCAGTGAAATATATTTTGCTCCTGAGCCAGAATGGGATGTAATAATGATTAGGTTAATGACCCAGCACAGGGCTCTTGGCATATAATGCAGCATTTACAAGCAACTGAAAGAAACATTTTGGGAGGGAAAAACAGATAGAAGGTTCAACCTTAATGAAATATACTGGACTTCAGGTTGTCAGGATAACCTCCACAGAACACATGGACCAGTCCCAGTTCTCACAGCTCTGGCCTGCAAACCTACCTTTGAAAGCCGTTGGTGCTGGCTGCCATGAACTCAGCTCGGCCAACAGGCATGTAGGCCTTTGGTGCTGGATGGCATTAATTCCAGAAGGATGACTTGGCTAGCAAGCTGCCTTCCGGGGATAATACTGAGAGTCGGTTTGGTCCGTGGGGCACATCATGCATCACTAGTGCTACCTCCATCAATGGCTATTAGCCAGGATGGGCAGGGATGGTGTCTCTAGCCTCTGTTCATTTCCTTTGAGGCACCTGGCACTGGCCACTGGAAGACAGGATACTGGGCTAGATGGACTTTTGGTCTGACCCAGTATGACCATTTTTATGTTCTTATGTTCCATGGGACAAACTGGGCACCTCTGCAGTGGGGCGTGCTGGTCTTTGTGATTCTGCTTGGCTGGGGAGTGTCAGGCACTCCTGCCACTAGCATAGTGGGACATGCCTGGTGCTCTGGTTGGCACTAGCATACTGGTGCATGCCAGGGGCTGGGTCTGGCACTAGCATGGCAGGGCGCACTGGGTTCTGTGGATGGCACTAAGGTGGGGCGTACTGAGTTCTGGCACTAAAACACCATAATAGAGGCTCAAACTATATGTATACCCCAAATAAAAAAAAAAAGAGCAAAAAATGCCACCATGGCTAAACAACAAAGTAAAAGAGGTGGTTACAAAAATACTTCCTTTAAAAATTGCAAGTCAGACCTTATTGAGGAAAACAGAAAGGAGCATAAACTCTGGCAAGTCAAGTGGGAAAGTATAATTACTCAGGCCAGAAAGAGAATTTGAAGAGCAATTAGAAAAAGACACAAAAACTAACAGCAAAATGATTTTTAAGTACAGGAGAAGCAGGAAGCCTGCCAAACAATCAGTGGGATCACTGGACCATCGGCGTGCTAAAGGAGCGCGCAAAGAAGACAAAGCTGTTGCACACAAGCTAAATGAATTATTTGCATTTATCTTCACTGCAGAGGATGTGAGGGCATTTCCCACACCTGAGCCATTCTTTTTCAGTGACAAATCTGAGCAACTGTCCCAGACTGAGGTGTCCATATAGGAGGATTGGGAACAAATGGATCAGTCAAACAGTAATAAGTCACCAGGACCAGATGGTGTTCACTGGAGTCGGTGCTAGGCAAATTCTTATACTGAAAAGTGAATAGGGGGGGCCCCTTGAGCTGCTCTGAGCCCTAAGCAATTGCTGTCTCTCCTTATACCTAGCACTGGCTCTGGTGTTCACCCAGGAGTTCTGAAGGAACTCAAATATGAAATTGCAAAACTACTAACTGTGGTGTGTATATGTAACCGATCATTTAAATCAGCCTCTGTACCAGATGACTGGAAGGGTAGCTGATTTAATGTAGATTTTAAAAGAAGGCTCCAGAGATGATTCTGGCAATTACAGGCTGGTAAACCTAACTTCAGTACCAGGCAAATTATCATAAGAACGGCCACATTGGCTCAGACCAATGGTCCATCTAGCCTGGTATCCATTGTCTTCTGACAGTGGTTAATGCCAGATGCTTCAGAGGGAATGAAAAGAATAGGGCAATTATCAAGTAATCCATCCCCTGTTGGCCAGTCCCAGCTGCTAGCAGTCAGAGGGTTAGGCTACCCAAAGCACTTGGCTGTATCACTGACCAGCCTGGCTAATAGCAATGGATGGCCCTGTCTGCCATGAACTACCTAGTTGTTGTTTTTTATACCCAATTATCCTTCTGGCCTCCGCAACATCCCCTGGCGAGGAATTCCACAGGTTAACCCTGGCTTGGGTGAAGACATCTTGCCCTTTGTTTGTTTTAAGCCTGCTGTCTCTGGATGTCATTGGGTGGCCATTTTGGTGCGTTACACGGAGGGGTAAATAACACGTCCCAGGGCCCGGGCTCCACACCGCAGGCCCATGCCCGGGCCCAGGCCTGCCGCCTGGCGCTGCCGTGGCTAGCCCATGCGCTGCGCCTGCCGCGCGCCCTGTCACCGCCAGGGGGCGCGCGGGGCCGGGGGAGGCGTGGCTGGCCCAACCCGTCCACTGCCCATGCTCACTTCCGGAATGGGCGGGTCCGGGAGCCCCGGGGGCGGGGCGGGCCCCGGTGATTGGGCTGCTGGGGCGGAGGTAGCCCGGGGATTGGGCGGGACGGGACAGCCCGGCAATCGGGCCCCGCCCTGCAGCGGCGCTTGCTGCGGGCGCCGCCCCGCGCGCTCAGTCGAGCCCGGGCGGGCGCGTGGAGCCGGCGGCCCCGTCCCCAGCCATGGCGCTGCTGCTGGAGCACGAGTTCCGGGTGGTGCCGGCGGACCGGGAGATCGAGACCGGCCCCTTCCTGGACGCCGTGGCGCATCTGCCGCCCTTCTTCGGTGAGGGGCCGGCCGGGGCTGGGGGCGGGAAGCGGCCCCCAAGGGGGGAGGTAGGGGGGAAGCGGCCCCCGGGGACTGGCCGGGGCTGGGGGCGGGGGAAGCGGCCCCCAAGGGGGGGTTGGGGACTGGCCGGGGCTGGGGGGGGGGAAGCGGCCCCCAAAGGGGGGGTAGGGGGGAAGCGGCCCCCGGGGACTGGCCGGGGCTGGGGGCGGGGGGAAGCGGCCCCCAAGGGGGGAGGTTGGGGGGGAAGCGGCCCCCGGGGACTGGCCGGCACTGGGGGAGGGGGAAGCGGCCCCCAAGGGGGGGGGGGGAAGCGGCCCCGGGGACTGCCGGCACTGGGGGGGGAAGCGGCCCCCGGGGGACTGGCCGGCACTGGGGGCGGGGGAAGCGGCCCCCAAGGGGGGGTTGGGGGAAGGGCCCCAAAGGGGAGGTAGGGGGGAAGCGGCCCCCGGGGACTGGCCGGCACTGGGGGCGGGGAAGCGGCCCCCAAGGGGGGGGTTGGGGGGAAGCGGCCCCCGGGGACTGGCCGGCACTGGGGGCGGGGAAGTGGCCCCCAAGGGGGGGGTTGGGGGGAAGCGGCCCCTGGGGACTGGCCGGCACTGGGGGCGGGGAAGTGGCCCCCAAGGGGGGGTTGGGGGGAAGCGGCCCCCGGGGACTGGCCGGCACTGGGGGCGGGGAAGTGGCCCCCAAGGGGGGGGTTGGGGGGGAAGCGGCCCCCGGGGACTGGCCGGCACTGGGGGCGGGGGGAAGCGGCCCCCAAGGGGGGCTTGGGGGGGAAGCGGCCCCCGGGGACTGGCCGGCACTGGGGGAGGGGGGAAGCGGCCCCCAAGGGGGGCTTGGGGGGGAAGCGGCCCCCAAGGGGGGAGGCTGGTGGGGAGGAAGCGACCCGTGGGATTGGCCGGGGCTGGGGGGGGGTACCTGGTGAGCCAAGCTGAGCCCCCTCGCCCCGCCGGGGATGCGGCTCGTTCGCCCTCCGCCCGCTGGGCCTGAGCTCTCTGTGGTGGGGCGCAGGCAAAGGGGAGCCCTTTGCTCCCTGCCAGGTGGCTGGGCCTGAAGCCGGACAGACCCTGCTCCAGCCCCGGGGTACTGTGGACACGCCGGCCCCGAACGCGCCCTGTGCGCTTGGGCCCCTGTCCCGGGGAGGGGAGGATGTGTGCCCAGGTCAGCCCTGGCAGCCCAACCCGGGATAGACCGATGTCGAGCACAGCTGCTGCTCTGCCTTGGGGACGAGTCCGACCCAGTGGCCTGTCTGCGGATAGCCCACAGGGTGCATCTGCCCCGGATATCTCTCAAGTCTGAGCCAGTTTCTCGCAGCAGCAGTTTTGCTAGCTCAGGGATCCTTCTCTCGGTCTTTGCCCTGCAGCTCGCTTGCTCGCTGTGTCCTCGTGTACCCAGCCCTCTCAACAATGCTCGATTTTCTGTTTCAGGTAGTGTCAGGATGCTCCAGGCTGTCTCGGATGCGCTCAGTTAGACAGAGGGTCAGACTGTACTGTCTGGCACACTGTGCTTATCGCCTGGAGCTGAGTCAGGAGACCTTGTACCAGATCCTCAGCAGCTGTGTCCAGAGAGGTGTGAGGGTTAGCAACACCTGTGGGAGTTCGTTGGAGAGGCTCTGTGTGGATGGGAGGGTTCAGCTGGCTCGTTAACTCTGAGTTAAGGCATTTCTAGCACTTTGCCAGTGCACTGGCTCTGGTGTTTCATGTGCTGCCTTTTAAATGTAAGAAGGAAAGTTGTATTAGGGAAAACGGTGTAATTAATGCAGTACAGCTTGTGTGTACAGACGAGCCCTGAGATGGCTGTACTCCAGTTAAAGATGTACGGTACCTAGCGTGGATCAGTTATATTGGTATAAAGCTGCTTATACCAATTACAGCTTATTGCTGAACAGGAAGGCTCTACAAGGGTGTGAGCAACACTTGACACAAAACGTCAACACATTAGAAACGTAATATGCCAAGGCCTAGTCTACACCAGTCTTTGTACCTGCGTACGGTCTGGCTATGCAATGAATTTGTACCTGAGTGGACTGGAGAGAGGGGGACTATGGAAAATAGAAAATTTGGCACACCCTTAACATTACCTAAACTGCTTGCCCGACTTCAGCTCTATAGCACAGCCTGTCAGAGAAGGCTTTCTCTCCGGCTTGTGGGGGAATGCTGCCACCGATTAGTTTAAAAAAAAATTACTGGGGTTCCTTTCAAGGGGCTCTGCGTTAATTTACACAGCTCTGTAACGGCATATGGGGTTCTTCTAAGACATGGTTACATCCGCCAAATGTGCCGAAACATGGTCACCAGTTTGTGTGTGGAGATGCCATGGTCTGTTTGTCTAGGAATCTCACTGAGAGTCCTGTATTGATGGGTCTGCCAGTATTTCTGTTAGAAGCTTTTACTTTCTGGGGTTTAAAGCACTGCTTGCTGTTTCTGGCCTCAAACCCAGCACAACCTTGATCTAAAAGGAGGGCAGAGGGGAGGGCTGTTTGGTTTTCATGAGCATGGGAGACTTGGCTTGTGGTTCTGTTACAATGTCCTAAGAGGAGGGGCACAGGCAGGTGTAAAGTTACGATTCTCTCTAAACTCGGACTCTGATCATGGCAAACTTTTCCAGCACTTCTCCCAGATCTTAATGTATTGGGAGGTGGCTGAGGTGACTGTTGAACAGAAGTCTCCCCCTTTAAAATTAATCTGAATTAGTTGCATTAGAATAAGGTGAGGGAGGTCTGAAGGCAGCATTTAAGGCTACATAGTGTGTTGGGTCCACAGGGGCTTTGTAGGGGAAACTCGGTGTCCAGAAAAGTGTATCTGGAAGAGCCACAGGACAAGTGAGTGTTTGCCTGACCCCAGGAAAGGGCATCAGTAGCTTTCCATAATTTCAGTGACCCCCTCAAGGAAAGGGGGATTTGGGGTTATGATATTCCTTCTTTCCCTGCTCCCCCAAATCTACTGATAATACTCAGGCTTGTAGTTGGACTGTCTCCATTTACAAGAACAGCCCCCCACGCCCTGGCATTAAATATCCTGATGGCGCTTGGGGAAAAGTGCATCACAGTTATTCTGCCTCAGCTGGAGTTGGCAGCACCCCCTGTAATGGATTTAAACGGGAGAACATTGCCCGGTCCCCAAGGAATTGGCAGTCTAAAGCATGTCCTAGAAAACGAGCTCCCCAGGCATTGATGGGACGATACATTGTTTACTTGCTCACCCCAGGGGAGTTGACCAGTAGGCCACAAGGCTTGATGCAGGATTTATGGGTGACTTTCTCTGGCCTGTGTTACACAGGAGGTCAGACTAAAAAAAAAAAGTCTACCTGAAATGTTGTTCTGCTTCCTGAGACAGACATTCTGTTCCATGTGAGACCTGGGGATGGGGCTGAGTGCAAAGAGAATGCAGCTGTTAGCAGGCAAGTTACTGGATCAGTCTTGTTCAGTGATTGGGATGTAAGAATGGTTTCCCTTTCTGCATATCAGTTCTGAGGGGAAGGGGACAGTTCTCAGGACTTGGCTGGTAAGTGAGCACTCAACTGAGCAGGCTGCATGGTCAACTAAGCAGGGATGTTTAAAGTAAAACCCCACTCTTCACATCTGCAGGACAGGGTTGCAGCTAAAGCAGAACAGGCTTTATGATTATTACTGTGGCAGGAAAGGAGATAGAGACCTGGCACAAGCTGTCATCCTGCCCAAGCTTTAGGACTGTGGTGAATGCCTGATTGAGAATTCATGTAAGGTTTGGGTACGGTGGATCCTAACTTCCAGGGATTCCTGGAAGATGCCTCCTCTGATCAGCTGATCCTCAAGCAGTGATGGCAGTTAAACTTCATACCTTGGGTACATCTGACTTCTAAAGATTTGCTCTTTCACTCCACACAGAGGTGAATTCTGCTTCCCTGTGCTATTCTATAACAAGTCATGGGGCATCTCTTCTTGCATGGTCTTTGACTGTTTTCTCATCCTTTCATCCATCTCTCTCTCCCTAAACAGAGTTTTCAACCCCACAACATTTCTCACTACTGTACTTTCTGTAAAGCTTTCCCTCCTTCCCACCTAGGCACTCACAAAGTTTGGCAATTGTACCCCACACCTAAAAGCCAGAGGATTAAACCTACTAGCCAAAGATACTGACCAGGGCAATATCCAGGTGAGCAGCCAATTTCTATGCCCCCTACCTTCTCAGGCTACTTCCATTGGAATCCCAACATCCTCCTCTTTGCAAGTGTTGACCCTCCGTCAGCCTCCTGGCTTTTGCAGTGGAGGGGGATCTGCGACTCTGCCTGTCTCCTGAACTCAGGTTTTGATCTGCCTTCCCAGTGGATATCTCCAGTGCTTGCCTCAGCTTTTAGTCATTGCCCAACTTTTTACTGGGGTGATTCACCAACTGCATTTTGTCTTCTCCTGCTGCTGCTCCTCTTCTCAGCCCTCCAGGGCCCTGCTCTCCCCTCCCTATACCCCCAAGCCTCTTGCTTGGCTCCCCCCAGTCCTCCCTTGCTCTTGCTCTCCTAGCCCTTCCCCCTTCTGCAGCCTCAGCCAGCTCCTCCCTCTCCACTTGCTGGCTCCAGCTGCTTCCTTTGTGCTGCCACTGCCTGGATCCCACTTCCCTGGCCCAGCAGCAGTGAGTGCAGCGGGGGAGGGGAGGAGAATGCTTCCAGAGCATGCATGGGGTGAGGAGTGACATGGGAGGGCAGTGACAGGAAACCCACCTACACCTTTCCTGTAACCCCCTAATAGGTCAAGAGCTGTCATTTGTGGGAGACTGACTTACAGCTCTTTTGAGCAGCCGTGAGGAAGCTGACTTGATTCTGTTAGTTTCATTGCTGCCGAGAGTTCTGACTAGCAGCAATAAAACTGACGGAATAATTCAGTTTTCACTCTGCTGTAGCTTGGCAGAGGCCTTGGATCTGTAGGACTGCATCAGTTCCCTTCTGCTTGCATTCGCAGAGTTATTGTTACCATCGGGGGGCTAGAATGGAAGTTTAGATTCTGCAGCTGTTGCAATGGTACTTTCCTA